ACTGTCTACAGTTTCTTGTGTGTTGCACGCTCGTTTCACAAGAAGCGCATCGATCTAAGCTAATTTGTTTTCTTTTTGGACCAGTCGTCTGCTTTTTAGTAAATGTAGTCACTTTTGTTGTAAGTGTTGAGGAAGGAGCAGAAAAAACTTTAGTAGAAACTTTAGGAGGAACTTTAGGATGAAGTGGCATCGCAGACTTCAATAAGGTTGGAAGGTGTGCTTTAAAATAATGGTATCGTGGCTGAAGTGCTTTAACTGGTTTCCACAAGGTAACAAAATGATTTTTGGTAGATAGAATTCTTCGATCAACAAAATAAGACGGTGGCATCGCAGCACAATGAAAGATATGGACATATTCAATTGCACTGCCATCAAGATAATCCTGTGGATATACTGTATTGTATAATTGAATCCAAGGAATCCCAATTTTCTTTCGCTACAGTATCATAGGTGAGTGGGTAGAATGACTGAATGGCACACTGAATTACTGTGGACAAGGCAAACATGCACACCATGGATGAGAATGTGTAATTTTTTGCAGCTTCCTTTGCTTCTTCTAAAACTGCTGCAATTTCATTACAATTCTCGAAAAAAGTAAGAGCTGCATCAGACACACATGGCAAAGGCATTTTTAAGTGTAGTGAACGCTATTACGTTTTTATGCTGGGACTCAATGAAGGAGTGGTTAGCATAGTATTTGGCATTCTCAAACAGTTCAATACTGGTGAGGCATCTCAAGTGAGCAGACAAACTCTCATTCCCGATTAACGCAATAAAACATGCATTAAAGAGACAATGAAGTATTGAAAGAATTTAAGCATTTAAGTATCAATGGTTATTTTATATTATTTTGTAAATATTCAATTAAAACTTTTAATCAGAATGTCAACTTCTTTACACCACACAGTAATTATGTGATTATACTTTGCAAACTTCGCTCAAATTATCTGGAGAACAAATGTTATGCCTTGCCATTTGAGAAATAGCAAGGAACCATTTGTTTTCCCAAATGTTTTCTCTCCTTTTGCTTGTATAATCATGGGTCACCTTCCATATAACTTTGTGCCGAAAGGATAATTACTAGAATTAGTCAGGGTAACCAATAGAACTAGAGTTGGTTTTAAGGTAAGGACTGGAGATTAAATTTTGGGATCATTAATATGGAAATTGAGCCATAATCATAATTATTTTAACAATGAGGCCCCCTACAATGTCTTTGTGTAATTTGAGTAACATCATGATGAAATCAAATTCACAGCTGGTCTTGACTAACTCATGGGATTTTGTTGCAGTTTTAGATTCGGGATTAGATTTTAATGTCAGGATTAGGATCAGGATGACATCATCCACAACAACATCAATATTCATGCACAACAAACACCTGTGAGGTAGTCACCCTCCAGGGGTCAGTCGTTAAAAATATTTGCTGTGTTGGTGTAATGTACTCTGGTGAATAAGATGCTTGTGTGATGTTATTAGAAAATTATGTTAGAGTTACACCTGTAGTAATCCAAGTCAGGATATATACATTTTAAGACCTAACCAGGAACGACTGCGCACAATGCAGCACAAGGTCCTCTGGTAGGAAATGAACCTACAGCCCTGCGATTCCTACCAGAGAACCTTGTGCTGCATTTTTCACAGTCGTTCCTGGTTAGGTCTTAAAATGTATATATTCTCACTTGGATTACTAACCCTAACATTCTAATATTAATTCCACCAAGTGCAGTGCAAGAATCCATATTGTGTGATGTTACTCTGACTGTATATATCCACACCGGGCAGGCTTGAAAAATATGCCTGGCCACGGTGGGATTCGAACCTATGACCTTTGGCAAAGGCATTGGGAGAGCATTGGGCTAGTATTCTTTGGCAGAGCATTGGGCTAGTATTCCAAAGGTTGTAGGTTCGAATCCCACTGTGGCCAGGCATATTTTTCAAGCCTGCCCGGTGTGGATATACACTCAGAGTAACATCACACAAGCATCTTATTCACCTGAGTACATTACACCAACAGACACAGCAAATATCATGATTATTAGATTACACTGGTATCGAAGGAACTAGACTCAGTTCCAAAGTATTGCATACTCAAACCGATCTGACTGCATAGCTCAGTTGGCAGAGCATTGGGCTAGTATTCCAAAGGTCGTAGGTTCCAATCCCACCATGGCCAGGCATATTTTTCAACCCTGCCTGGACAGCCTGGTGTGGATATATACACTCAGAGTAATATCACACGAGCAATTTAGAAATATTTCTTCAGAAATCTTGTCTGGATGAATGAAAGTTTTCTTCAAAGCTTCAAAGTAAACAGGCATGCAGAAACACACAAACAAAAACACTAGGTTAAATTTTAACCAAGGATTAGCCTTAGCTTAGAACAACCGACCCCTGGTCAACCTACAAATATTAAGGCGCTATATTTAAAGCTTGGTGAAACCAAATAGACGACTACATAGACCCAATACTGAAGTAAACATTTCATTTTACAGTCGACAATCAAATGTTGTAGCCGTAAACTGTAGCAAAACACTGATAACAGTTTTAAACAGAGTTTTTACTAATATTTCACGACTACATAGCGGATAAATGCAATTTATATTTTTATATTGACAAACGCCATGTGTTCGAGATCATATTACTATTTCACTAACAAAAATTTACAACATACAAATTTGCATGCACAAGTTATTCCCTGACCCCAGCGTAAATGCAAATTTAATATAAGTCCATTAAAAATTCTTACCTAACAGGAACATTAGGCCCAGATCTTTCAGTTTGGCTCTTGGAGAACTGCAGTTTTGAAAATTCGCACGTTGGCAGCACGATGTCGCCAGTAGATTTTATACGGCGCAGCCTTTCTTCAATGATAAATTCATCACATTGTTGCCTCAAGAGCGATAATTCCCCTGAAATATGTTCGCTTAGGTTTGCTTGTTGAAAGATTTCGACGAGCTTGCTAAGAACATCGACCTTTTTTTAAAAGCTTCCATCTTGATAGCATCCATGTAGCTTGTGATGTATTATTCTTTATCCCGTCAAGTCGACAAGTATCGAACTTTATTGTTGATCATTTGTATTGCGCAATCAAAATATAGCCACCGTGGCAGACCGTGGCGCACATGACCACAACTTGCCTAGCCTGCTCACAGGCTCTATTATATAGAGCCTGCGACTTTTATTGATATTTTTTCAATACGCCCCCTTTGAGATAATTGAATATCCGGTAAATAGTAGCCAATCAAAGCAAGTTTTGTTAATTAGATTACCAGAGGTTATTAACAACAACAAACAGTTTCTCGCGCAATTTTACGCCTGTATTTTTCACTAGGATTCCAACGTCTAAACTTTAATCTAAAATAATTCATGGTCGTTTTTTCCCTAAAGTGTTCTAATATTTAAAACATAGTCCCGTTTGTATATTGCTGTCTTGTTCGTACATTGCCGTTTTAAATTATGTAACTATACTACAGAGACGTAAAATTTTACTCTCTATTAGTTAATGTATTTTATATATTTATATCCAAAATATAACTGTAAGATTTAAGGAAACGTATTTAGGTTTTGAACAAAGTAACAAACACTATTTATTAAAAGTGTCGAACAATAGCAGGCTAAAAAACAACATTAATCATTATTGCGTGAAGTCTGTCATTTGCTCAATAATACAATTAACTCAATAGACAATAGACAATTTGAAAACCCGTGGCCGTGGCATAGATTCTGCCGTGTTTAATAACTACATTTTTTTTGTAAAAAGCTCTTGTTGTAATAATATATGTCACTAGTTGAGACTCCCAAAAATAAAGTCTCAAAGAGAGAGCGGACTTCGGTCAAAAAACACGCAAACGACTATTGCAAAATTTCCAGGTGTAAATTCAAATTGGCCAGGTGTTCTAAGAACGACTTTCCTCGACGGCGTCTGTTTTAATAATTTGCCCATTGTCTTGACTTATTCAAGACCACTAGACCAGATTGTTTAGGCAGAAAGCCTTGGGTTGACAGGGAAGTATTTGGGAGAAATGTTCGGAGGCATTTGACAATCAACTGCTTTATACTAGCTGATTCACTGCCTGTGTCTCAACGAACGTCTCGCTGGGCTAACCTTAAGTTGTTCAACGTTTGAAACCGCAAGTGATGCAAACGCGGTTAGATAAATTGTCAGCCTGAACTAGACTTATTTTACTCTCTCTGCAAAGATCAGCAAGGCATACGTCGAAGTTTTCCCTTGTACTTCTTTGGAAAAGGTTTATTATTATAGCTGACGAAGACAAAGTATCGGTATATTACATGTAAACTTTTATCAAATCCCGTTGGAAGTACAGTTAATATTGCTAACCTTCGCTCATCCTTCAACGTTAATTTAAATTGAAAGGTTTCTCAAATACATTCAGTTACTTCTTCGAAGAGATAAACAAAGTCATGGTTTTATACGCCAAAGTCATGGTTTTATACATTGCGAAATGTCGTACGAGTTAAATATTTGCACGATATTAACTCATGGGGCACTTCTGACCAATGGGAATTTTGCGTACGCTCCGTACGCATAAATCGACTTTTTACTAATAAAGGTCGCAGGCCGTACCTCCCATGCAGCCTCTGCCTGACAACGGCCTGCGAGCAGGCTACAACTTGCCCTGTGATTGGTTTGCAACGCTGCACCGTGGCAGAAAGTTACTATATTTAGTAACAATTGCGCAATTTTTTGCACGCTGACCGTGGCATTTTGTGGCTGTGATCGCAGCTTCGAATTTACGACTGTTTTCCGAACATATTCGGCACAATTCGGCACGCTTTCGGCGGTTTTTATAGTTCAGTGTTTAACTGGATAATTATACTATTGAACAAGGAATATATTTCGGAAGTTTTTCCTGCTTTTAGCACATATTACTGTAATATGAGAACAATTACAAAAGATATTATTCAAATTGTTTGCTATAGACCTATATTTGCTCAATTTTGCTGTATTTCAAATAACTAATATATACTTCTTAAAAATGCGTAATGCAGTCTAATGCAGTATCCAACAAAGGTGAACCCCGGAAAATCCTGGGTGGGAAAAATCTGACCGTGGCTCGAGCCACTTTTGCCACGGTCTGGATCCGCGCCTGAAAACTTCAATAAATGTTCTCTAATACCACTGAACAGTAACGCACCTTCGCTGCTTATTAACTAACAACAGGAAGGGCTGTCAAGAGACCTACAAGACGGGCATATTGTCTTCCACGTACTTAATCTGTCCGTATCAAAAACGTTCCGTAACTTTATAAAATAATGTTTATATAATGAACGAGATTTAAACGCACTGATGGAAGATGATTTGCGTATTTCAAATGTTTTCTATCTATCACATGATCAAAATACTTGCGAATATGATAAATAACGAAGTTAAATCAGTTTTGATTTTCTGCCTTTTAGGAGGACGCAGATTTTGATTTCCTGGGCGATGCTTGTGACAACAATAACGACAGGTAAATCTGTGTTGTGAATTAGTAGCTTAATTAGGTTCAGTAAAAATTTATATATGCATGCCAATGTTATGACCAAAAAATATGTATATAAAGTAAACTGGAACATTTGAATAACAGGAAATACGAACGTTATTAACCAAAAACAGGAACTTTTAACATTTTAGTAAATAAGACGGAATGTATGTACGTAAGGGAAGTTTGTGGGTTGACTTGTGGTCAACCAAGCGAGGAAGATGTGAAAATGTGCGTCACACATTGAACTTACTTCCTCTGGGAAAAAGTTCCCACAGTATGAAAAGTCAGAGAGTATAATATATATACGAGTGAGATTGTCGAAAGAAGGAGTTGAGTGGCGAATGAGTTGTGAATGTGTTGAAATGAATTGTGAAAGATTGTGAAAGAGTGCGAAAGTTTGTATGAGAAATTGTAGTCAGAGTGTTTGTATATCGATAGCAGTGATCACTGATATGTAATGATAATAGAATAAAATTTGTGAAAACCGAAAGCATACAGTCCCATTATATTCGAGAACCAGCAAAGGAATAAATCTCACAAGGAGAATTTATAATTAACAATCTGAAATATGTTAAAAACTGATAGCTCTAGCTATCGGTTCTAAACTGTTCTCCTTGGAGATCCAGTACCGACAATCTCTAATAGTTCCAGTTTTACTACTGAAGAAAATCAGAGCGTCCTTTAAACTATGACCTGTGATGTTTGGTAGAATCAAACTAGGCTTCTCACATGCAACTAGAATTCTCTATTCGTAACCCAATCCCTAATACAATAAATATTTTTCTTCTATTCAGAGACCGAGATGGTATTCAGGATTCTGAGGATAATTGCCCTCATGTAGCAAACGCAGCCCAGTTAGATAATGACTCGGACAAGCAAGGTAGAGATCAAACAGAGAAACAAATGAAGCGAATGTTAGGAAGCACGTTGTCCCATATATGTAATGCTTATTATTGTCTATTTCCAGGTGACTCATGCGATCGAGATGATGATAATGACTTCGTGATAGATATACACGACAACTGTCCTCTCATTTCCAACCGTTATCAAAAACTTTCAGCTGGTAAGCGCTAATTTACTACCTCCTTAATGGACCATTTGCATTATTGCATTTACTAAATTTTGTTCTAGACAAAAATTCCATCACAGCTTGAAAGAGCATCACAAAATTAGTTATATTCCAAAGTTGTTGTAAAATGCGGATAATATAGCCTTGCGAAGTTTGCTGTTTTTCAGTCATTTTGTATTACGCACTGGAAATTGACAGCCCAATCGGGTGTTGGGGCATCAATTTCCCGCGTTTGTAATACAAAATGACTGAAAATTGCAAATTTCGCAGGGCTATATTATCCGCATTTTACAACATTTCGCAACGAAACTTTGGAATATTACTAATTTTGTGATGCTCTTTCAAGCTGTGATGAAATTTTTGTCTAGACTTGTTTAGATCAAAATTTAGTCTATAATGCAAATGGTCCATTGCTTTCGGTAAGCAACGGGGCAACATATAGTTGCCGTTCCAGCTGGGGGACCCAGGTTCTCGGATAAGGACGTTTAAAATCGCAGGGACCTCTGATCCCCTATCAATGGACCATTTGCATTATAGACTAAATTTTGATCTAGACAAATATTTCATCAGAGCTTGAAAGAGCATCACAAAATTAGTAATATTCCAAAGTTTCGTTGCGAAATGTTGTAAAATGCGGAAAATACAGCCTTGCAAAGTTTGCAATTTTCAGTCATTTTAGATTACAAACGGGAAATTGATGCGCCAACACCCGATTGGGCTGTCAATTTCGCGTGCGTAATACAAAATGACTGAAAAACGGCAAACTTCGCATGGCTATATTATCCTCATTTTACAACATTTCCCAACGAAACTTTGGAATATTACTAATTTTGTGATGCTCTTTCAAGCTGTGATGAAATTTTTGTCTAGATTAAAATTTAGTCTATAATGCAAATGGTCCATTGGCAATAGCCTGAAATCCACTCAACAATGAGTGACAAACTCAACAAACAATAAACAATAAACAATAAACAATAAACAATAAACAATAAACAAAATCAATGTCCACCAGTATATTGCCAAATATACAAGACTGCTATATATATATATATATTGAAAAGAACAAACATTATTTTCTTTCTCTGATAATGCAGGTTGACCACTATCTGCTGCACGATAGTGCTTTATAAAACCCACCTACTCGGAGGGAATAAAAGAAAGGAACTTGGCAGTTTTGAAAATTTAGTTCAAACTTATTTTTACGAATCTGTCTTGTAGCTCACGGGCGTGGAGAAGAATGCAAACACGATTTCGATGGAGACGAAGTCAAGGACAAAAATGACGCATGCCCGAGGGACGCCACCATGACAGCTGTAGACTTTGGAAAACATGTTATTTTCCGACCGGATGGTGAACCGACGCAAGCGTTCTGGAGAGTTCAAGGCCAAGGACGTGAAGTGCGCAAGCAACAGAATAACAACTCTATTTTGATTGGTTAGTATGTTAAACGCAAGAACTCCCTTTACAAATGCCAGACTGCCTTTTCAAATGGCAGAAGTACCTTCTCAAACGCCAGAACTCCGTTTCCAAACGCCAAGACTCCCTTTACAAATGCCAGAACTCCCTTTTCAAATGGCAAAAGTACCTTCTCAAACGCCAGAACTCCGTTTCCAAACGCCAAGACTCCCTTTACAAATGCCAGGACTCCCTTTTCAAATGGCAGAAGTACCTTCTCAAACGCCAGAGCTCCGTTTTCAAACGCCAAGACTCCCTTTGCAAATGCCAGAACTCCCTTTACAAATGCCAGAACTTGGAGTTCAAACGCCGGAATCCCGTCTTCAAAGTATCGTATATCTTTGCGTCCATTTTATAACATATATGTACAGTTGAATTTCCACGTGTGACAGTGTTAGACGAGTATACGATGATAGTTGTAAGTTTTTTTCCTATCACTACTGCATGTACATATCAGAAGTCTAATTTGCTTGAAAGGTCGATGTTTTACTTGTATTCTTTAGATACTTGAATATCTTCGAGTTTGTACACACTACATTACATATCCACTGTATCAAAATCTCTCTCTTATTTTTAGGCAACAAGGCTTTCGAATCTGTCGAGTTCAACAGTACGATCTACGTGGACAGTGATGCTGGTCAGGGCACAATTGGTGTTGTATTTGGATTTCAAAGTGCGAAAGTGTTCTACATTGTCATGTGGAAGAAAGCTTCCCCCAATAATGGATTGGTTATGAAGGTATGTGCAATGCTAATATAACTGAAACTTAAATGCATGAACACCATAATGTGAATGAAGATTCTTTTGCTCTGTTTCACCATGAAGATGCGCTGGTTTTATATTTGATTTCTCCATTTTGTTTGTAGGAAGTGAAATCTACGACAGGGCCATCTCAGGATTTATATAATGCATTACAAAACGCTCAAAGCGTTTCTCGACAGGTATTTTATTGGATAACTATCATTTCCAAATTGTTTTCCCTAAATGTGCGCAACCCAGCAAGGTACATAGTAGCGTTTGCCCCCAAACCTCTGGCCCTCGTTTAACCGGTTCATGCTAAAAAAGTAGAATCACCGACGATGTTTTTGTTGTAGGCCAACATTTTGTGGGAAGACCCTAAGAACTTAGGTTGGGATCACCGCACAGCTTACAAGTTCGTATTGACGTTGAATTCTGCACGGAAAAATATCAGGTAAGTGAAACAGTTCGGATTTTTCTTTGGTGCTTAAAATATATCTGTGTGAAACCAGGCTATTAACATTGATAGGTCTTTTTTCATCCATGGTTTTTCTTCACTTTATTGCCAGCATTGGATCAATGAAATTATAGCGTAACAAGTTTGTGAAATTATTTAGGGTGAATGTTTACAAAGGCAGTGACAATATAATCAGCTCTCCCGAACTTTACGCCGGAATGTATCGTGGTGGCCGTCTTGGTATGGTTAGTTTCAATCAAGGAGATGTCCTCTGGACTGCTTTGGACGTTAAATGCCTTCATTTGTGAGGTAGGTTGAGAGAAACGTCCTTTCAACAGATATAATTGAAATGTTTGGTTACCTAGTTTGTTCCATTCTATGCTTACATTATCAGAACAGTGGTAACTAAGCATGCGAGTTATCCCACCATATATAATTTAAATGCTTGGTTACCTTTGTTCCATTCTATGCTTACATTATCAGAACAGTGGTAACTAGGCATGTGAGTTATCCCACACAATTCACTCACATATATAATTTAAATGCTTGGTTATCTTTGTTCCATTCTATGCTTACATTATCAGAACAGTGGTAACCAGGCATGTGAGTTATCCCACCCAATTCACTCACATATATAATTTAAATGCTTGGTTACCTTTGTACCATTCTATGCTTACATTATCAGAACAGTGGTAACTAGACATGTAAGTTATCCCATCACATATATAATTTAAATGCTTGGTGGTTTTATATCTATAGGATCCTTACACGCGTTTTATGCTAATTGCATCTGAAATATTCGTTTCCTAATTTTCCTTCCCTGTTTAGAAAGAGTTGTGAATGCTTCAAAAGATATAACAGTGTACTGGAAATTATCCAAAGATGGATGCGACCTGAATATGATGAAAAAGATATAAAAGATGAATCCTTCAAGTTCATCTCGTCATTTTAATAAATTTCAATAACATACAGTATATATGATAATATACCCTAGTTATGAACCAATTGCCTTAAAAGGCGTGTAACTGGCTGAACGAGGGACGGACAATATAGAAAATAATTAGGAAGGCCACGGGCGAAAAGTTCCGGAGAAGAGCAGCACAACGCAAAAGGCTAGTATATAAATTATACAAATATTATGAATGTTGTAATGTATATATCGAACAAGATGTGTTTTATAATATACGTTTAAAAACCAATTCGGGTCGGTGTTTGTTAATTTTACGGAAACGTAATGCAATTTTGAACACAGGGCTACAAGTTTTGGTTTTAAGCCCCTGCCCAAATGAAGATAAGAGTTCTCAACTCTCAGATAAAACACTAAGCATACTTTTTAAGTTTCTTTGCCGCTTAAGAAACGTATCAAAAATTTAACAGACCAATGTAATAGAATCTGGAGGATATATTAGCAATCTCATGTATGCATAATTAACAGGCTCTCTGGCATCCTTGTGCAGAAAAGTAGGACTAGAATCATAGGAAAAGTAGAAATAAAGTAGGGAAATGTGTAGAAAAGTAGGACAATGTTGGAGATGCAGATAACACAAAAATGTACAAAATTGGCGCCCTAGGATATAAGGGGTGTACCATTAGATATCTGACGGGAGGTTATGTGAATTTTTGGTGCTCCATATGTATAATCATTCATCTACGCAGGATTTTTTCTCAAAACGTGTAAATTGCATCGGTAAAAAAGCTAAGGCATCTGCTCTGCAGCAACACAATTCAAATGGATTATGCGTGTGAGTGCATGTATTTATGTGCGGCAGGAGCATATGATGCTTGAGAGCCGGGGGGGGGGGGGTTGAATATTTGGAATCTCTAGATCGTTGGAAATGGCACTTTCACAGTCTTCATTAATTTATTACGATTCTAGAGATATGGAATTTTATACTCGGAAAATGTACTTCTTCTCTTCCTGAGATCTTATCATCAGGGACCCAAATAGGGAATAAAAATTACGAGTCCTATAGATCGAATTACGAGAACTATATCATACTGATTCGCCAAGCTGTCTTAAAAAAGTAGGATTTTACGAGAAAAAGTAGGAAAATCAAGCAATTTTTAATAAAAAATAGGAAAAGTTGAAGAAAAGTAGGAAAAGTAGGATGGCAAGAAAGCTAATATAACTGCTGTAAACAAAGCAAATTTTGTAAAAGTTTATAATGGTTATATTGTTAGGGAGTATTTGAAGGACACTCTAAAGGCTTCATTCCAGTCACGCGTTTTTCAAACGTGCGTACACGCACGTAAAAGTTGAATTCGTTTTACATCCTACTTATGAAATAACTAAATTTATAAAAGGACAGCATTCAGTTTTGTGTATGATTTAATGTGTATTTGTTAAGGTTATTTGCACTTATATGAAATTTTAAGCGAATTCAACTTTTACGTGCGTGTACGCACGTATGAAAAACGCGTAACTGGAATGCAACCTTAAGGATTTGTGACGTCAGTGCAATGGATCTATAACTCTATATAGTCATACCAAATGGAGAAGTATATTCATCAATTTTGAGCGCGTGTTACGTAACATACAAGATTCTTCTCTTGACGAGAACGCACAATGAGAACATTCATCGAAAAATTGAATTCGCGAGCTGATAGTTTACACACTTCTGGAAATATGTCACTTTGACTATAGAGCCTTGTCTTCATGTATGTGGCATTAGTTAAAGCCTAACGTCTCAAGCACGAAAACAAGACTCTTTGGCCAAGGTGACGTACCGACTTTTCGGATGGGCGTATTGGATGCAAGCGCGAAGAGGGCTGGGCTGCGGTCAGACGATAACAAGAGTCGCGAGAGAGTTGGTTGGCAAATAAATGCGAGGTATGTGTGTACAAAGCCTTGTAGGGGACAAGCCTTGGTGTGCAAGCCTTGCATAGGGGACTTAATATCTTTTTGCGGTACACCTGCCTCAGGAGTTATTTAGGCAAATTTAAAAAAAAAAAAAATGAAATGTGCAACACACTGAATAAAGCCAATGTTACTGTGAGAGTTATTAGCAGCATTTTGTTGGAAATAAATTACCAGTGATGCCAAATGTTTCATGAGACATGAAAACGAACAACTAGAGAACACAATTTATAATCCATCATCAAACCGTACAATATCGGGCTATTTGTCAATATAAATAGCATAAATTTAGAGCATATAAATTATATTATATTACAAAAGTACAGTGGACTTTTTTGATATTTTGCCACTATGCAGAGTTCGCATATTTCTTGCAGGCGGCGAGTGCCGCCCAAAACTGAACACCCAAGTCAAGTATTGAGAGATTAGCCAAGTACAGAGAGATTTTCGAGGTTTGAATTTCGAATATGCACACACCCGTGTAAACGGTTCGAATTACTGCCCCCGAATTATTGTAAAGCGGTTTTTCGTTTTCGCTTTTTTGAGGACGGTGAACTTATGCTGAACTATATCCGATAACTTCTTGACGAGGGGATCATATCTAATAGATATTCCCGTTGTCTATCGTTTTCAGTTGTATAATTATGCCGTTGTTTTGGTTGGGGCTGACCAACGTAGGTGAAGTACCGCGCGGGCTCCTGCCGATGCGGACCGTCTAATTCTTGATGCTGTTGTTGCAACTGTTGTTGCTGTAGTTGATGTACTATGGAGGGATGTGGCTGATAAACTTGAGGCTGTGGTATGGAATGTACCGGGTGGTAGACGATGCGTGCGGGTGGCGGATGGATAGCTTGGTGTGCGGATGAAACGCGTACGGGTTGCGGTTTAACTGTTGCACTTGTTTTCCCTACAGTCGACACGGACGCTCCAGATAATTGAAACTTCTTCTCCACCTCTTGTTCTTGTTTTAACGCTTTCATAAAAGCGTCTTTCAACCGTGTTGTGTGTTCCGTTTTCAATGTCTTTTTTATCTTCTGCGTGTAGCACGATTCACATAACGTGTCCTCGTTTACGCTTACATCCTTCGCCTTTATTCTCCACCCTGGTGTGAAGTCAGTATCGCATTGCGAACAAAATTTCGGTGCGGTGAAAATCTTTGCCGAGTCTACGTCCTTCGCTTGGGATTCTATTATGTGATTCACGACACCTTCTAAGCCAATAAGTATTGTAAAATCCTGGGTATTTACACTCGGAACAAAGTTCCAATCCTGAACAGGCGGTTTGGGAAGGGGAATTTCGAGTAGCGTCTTTTCAAGTTGTTTACGAAGCGCCATTTTGGCTTCCGCATGCGATTGCTCAGGTGTGGGTGGACTACGCATTTTCTTAATTGTTTTTGGTAGACCATTTTCAGCCGGGCGGCCTTTATCCACATGGATAGCCTGCCGCTTCGAGGTTGAAACAGAAGAGTTGTGGGCATAGACTGCTGTAGGGGGAAGAGGCTGCACGTGAGATTTGGAAGATGGTTTAGTCGTAGCAGGGCTGACCATTTGTACTTTCATTTGTCGACTGTCACGTTTTGCATCTGGGACAGGGACAAGCTTAGGAGCAATGATGACAGGTTGTGGTCCACGCGGTTGGCTTAAAAATACCACACGTGGCTGAAGTGCAGGAACGTTTGGCTGTGGTGGTTTTTGCACCAGGATGGGAGGTTGAGGCTTTGCTTTTTGTACTAATTTTGTCACCTGTTTCTGTGCCTTCTGCTGTTGCTGCTGTTTCTGAGAAGAAGCTGCCACTGCCGTCTTTCTCTGACTCGTGGTTGTATTAGACTGGGCTTGGGTTGTTGTTGCTAGTGTAACAGCGCCTGTCCTGACAGGGTTCGTCTCCTTGGCTACTTTCTCATTTTGACATGTATACAACTTTCTTAACAACATCAGTTTAGCCTCCTCGTTCCGTAAATTATTTTGCAAACGTAGAATTAATCTCTCTTTGCTTTCGATATTTTCAACGTCCTCTGGAGCTTCGGGAAAACTACCGTTGGTTAGTGGCTTCTCCTTGTTCGGCAGGGCAGCAGACGGCATCACCTTTCTTGAACACGGTTGCTTCAAAAGATCCAGGATAGATTGTTTGGGTGGCTCAGGTTCGATAACTCTGTTTGGATCTGGCTCAACCGCTTGAAGTTTCTTGACAGAATTGAGACCCAGTTGTGCAAGAAGATCTTCTTGGGATATGCAATCTGAGTCAGATTCTGAATCTGTTTCTTTTGTTCGTTTAGAAGAGGGTGCCTTTGTACATTCCTCAGTTGCTCTACAAAGCAAAAAAGTTCATGTTTTCTTTATATTTCATAAAACAATGAACTGAAAATTATTTAAAAGGGTTAGTAAGAGATCAGCTTTTCAGTTGGCTGTTGACAAATTTTCATACTGTAAGAACATTGCCTAATTAACATTTTGAAAATTAAAAAGCAATTCCTCTCTAATATGAGCAACACTGTGTGCATGCATTCCTGTAGCCAGAAAGGAAGCTCTGACGTTCTGTGAAAATTTCAACCTCTTTTCAACAATACCAATTAAGGCCAGGTTCTGGATTGAAGGCTATGTGTCATACCGAAACGTATTGGGGCCAGTTGTTCAAAGCTGGGTTAGCTTAACCCTAGGTTACCTAAAATTTAAAGCAAACTTCCTGACAGCTTGCCTATAAATTTGGACATATTTCTTCAGAGATCTTGTCTGGATCAATAGGAGTTTTCTTCTCTGAAGTTTTGAAATAAACAGACGTGTAGAAATACACAAACTAAAACAGCAAGTTAAATTTTATCCCAGGGTTAGTGCTAACCCAGCATTGAACAACCGGCCCCTGGTGAGTATGCATACAGCAGATCAAAAATAGGTTGATATGCAGGCCTTAAAATATCTTTTACAGGGCCGTCTGACAAAATGTCCGGTGACGTTGAGTTTGCGTCGGACATATGTCCGATGACCTTCAATTCAGTTTTGACTCGGAAATAAGTCTGAATGACACAAATGAATAAACGGTAAATGTTGTAAAGATATTAAATAATTTGTTTCTTTCATACTGTTAAAACAACATTTCCAGTTCACCTTTTATACAATAGTACTCTGATTTTCCATTTAACATACAAGCCTCTAGTCCTGGGCTAGGGTACATTTTGATTTACGTCGGACGAAGCTACAGTTCGGTCGGACACCAATACACTCGGGTCGGACAAACAATAAACCTCAGTTTCACTTAGGTCGGACAGAATGTCCGGTGGTTTCCTCTCTACGTCGGACAATTTAACGAATGGGTCGGACAATGTCCGTGACCGACCGATATTTTAAGGCCTGATATGTTTATGTATTCCTGGGTTCATTCGTGTATCAAAATGAAAGCATGTCCTTGCTTTAAGCACCAACAATGAACCACATTATATGAAATTGTGTATAATTTCAATATAATTTATTACACTTGTACTGAGGTCTTTAGTTCTATTACATTAGTTTGCTTAGACATGTTACGTATAAATTCAAATGTGTGCTATTAACACGACTGGCCAGAGCAATTTAAAAATTGGTTCGGTGCGCTCGTAGTATGCTGTACAAAGCAGGCCTAACAAGCAAATGTACACACTTATTTTTTCATGATTAAGACTATCAACAACAATTGCTCTGGCCTGTCTGAAAAAATTTACGGCATTCATCTCGGCAAAGAAGCTAGTTGGGTTATACAGGTGGATGCGCCGGCCCGAATATGTCAATATGGATATATAACCATATTCAAAGATGTTATCAATGTATACATTATGATAAGTGTTAATGCATAATTAACCGGTTACTCTCAACTTATAGTTATGATGACGTTTCTACAATAAGTCCAAATAACATTTGTGAATTTCAAGGTATACTGGTGTCAGGCTTAGAACTATATCGGTTATAGGAATATCGGTAGATCACTAGCCCCTGTAGAACCTACTGCAAACACAATATTTACATCCCTTTGATAATACGTCATGTATACTTCCTTGACCTGGGTGCTTCTCGCTCGTTTGAATCAAGACGCAAGGCTATTCGCTCACGGTTCATGAGAACGAGGCTCCCGCACCAAAGAGAGGTTTGCAATGTTCTCAACGTAAAACAATATCGATGAGACAAACGTATATTCCTTACATGACAAAACATTCATCGATAAACATGATAAAAAACACTTACTCAGTTTTATTATCTATCGCATCATTTTTATCAGTCGTTTGCTCAGTTGACATATTCTCAGGTGTTTCATCATCGGCAGTTTCTCGCTTCCTTTTAGAACTTTCAGTAACTTCTGTGGACATTTTGATTACTGTTCTAACAAAAAAATCAACATGTCGATTATTGATAATCTTGGCTAAAAATAGAAATCATGAATTATAATAACTAATAAATTTACTTATTTTCTTGGACTTTTAGTTCAGAACTGAACATTGATGAAAAATTTCACACATTTTAGTAAAAAATGCAACAGGAACTTGTTTATTTATCAATTTGAAAATTCTGACATGCGTTTCTGAAAATCTTCGACCACGCTGCTGACGCCATATTGCTCAAACATGGCGGCAATTTCAAGACAATTGCATCTGTGAAAATGCCTCCAAATTTCTCTTCCTAAGCTAGTTTTTAGCACTTCTAGCGAAATAAAGTTGTAGCTATTTGAAAAGTTGTTATTTCAGTACCTTTGGGAGTGATATGGGTTGAAAATTTCAAGTTTTGACACGTCAGGGCCGAGCGGTACGAGTGACGTGCGGAGACCGTGGTACGAATGTCCTCGGCCTTCCACAACTGTCCCTGTTATGTCTTGAAATCAGTCTCAATCAGGGCTTTATTAAAACACTTCTGTTCAATGTCTGAAAGATAAACGTACGAGCGACGTTTTAAAGTCGAACAAACCAACACAGAGCCGGCACAAACCAATGAGACGCCGAGTTCGATTCAACTTGTCTTCCCGCGGCCATTGTGTAATCGAAAAAGCGAAGCCATTGAATGAATATTAAAAATACTGTTTAATTTTGATGAAACAACAACCAGTGAAGATGTTCAAGCTCGATTCAACATTAAAGGAAAAAGGCAATAGGTCATCTTACCTCGAATTTTAAACCCACGCGGTCCCTTTAACCTGTTTCCTTGAGAATTTTGTCGACGAAGGTTGAAAATCTAGCAAAGTTGAAACAAAGTCCCTTGCCGAGGGTGGGATCAAAGCACGATCGTTCCTGCTGAAAAACCCTTGTTTCTTTGATATTACGACCGTACCCGACCATAACCTTATTAGGAAGTGCACTCTCGCGTGAACCAATCAAATTGAAGACGACAGAGCCCGAACATTGCTGTCGCCATGGCAACGGCTCATTCCCGATATGATTGACAAGTTTGATAACAAACCGGTTTAAACCAGATCCAGACAGGTGGTATCACTCCTACAGTGATGACGTCACCCAATTGCATCACTCCTATTGGCAGATGCGCACACAATACAATCGGTATTTGTCAATAAGACCGTTGCCTCTCCGCGTGTCTGATTTGCAAGAACCAATGAAAACGTGAATTCTTTATTAGTACCTTCGGTAAATCACGTTGGCCAATGACAGTTCTGGTTGTAGAATAAACGCAAACAATAGTTTCGCAATGTCCCACGACCCACAACCCTAACCCACCTAACAATTATTATTGTGCACACTGCACCTCCTATAACAATCAAATACAGACCCGGCGTTCACTATAGTCATAGACGTAAAAATATGCGGTACCCTTGCAAAACCTCGTTTCATACCATATGCATAAATATTCTTTACGACAAGGTTTTAGTTTTTCTGCAACGAACAGCTAGTTTTACGAATGGTTGATCACGACAGTTACTGCGGACCGAATTACATAATCGTCTTTTTACGAGAACGGGCACAGGTAAAACTTGTTTCCAGAAATTTATCTGGCAAAATGTGATTTGAGAATAGGGTACATTCCAACGAAATGCAGGACCATTTTATGGAGTCAACTACGTACACACTCGTCATGTTTTATAACATCATGCCAAATTACACACCTTTATGTAAAATGAGATGATGTCACATGATCAAAAATCCGGAAATGGAATGTGTGGCAATTAGTGCAACGACAAACAATCCAGTATGTGGCTTAGCACTTGAATAACAATATTGTTATATTGCACTGGAGTACTGAGGCAATTTTAGATCATTGCCATTTCAACCAGTAACAAAAGACGCCTGTTAAGGTTGTTAATTGTTGGAAAAAAACTCTCAAATGGCATAAACGTGTGATACTGTGTATCATAACAGCCAATGAGAGATTCGCTACAAAATCAGCTGCCGTTCGAAACAACTTAGCACCAATCAAAGATGTAACAAATTAATGAGTTCAGTGCATTATAGTTGATAATGATATGCATATTAGAAAAGTTGAAATCTATTTGGCAGACGATAGCGAAGTCAAGCGTTGAAAAGATGTGTTCGCAGTATTCTTGTGAAGCAAATTTGTGCTATATTATAGAGTTGTGTTATATTTCACCATATAACACAACTCTAATTTATTTTTTGTGCAAAACTTTATTCCAATTTATTCATTTGGCAAAATCCGACAAAGCTTTTGATCCGTAAGCCGCCGGCCATTACTCATCAGCCAAGACCTTTATTCTTTAATCCATACAAGACAATATTTTAATTCTTGCTTTATTGCACTGATGCAGCTCCGGGCTTTAATTACAGTAATAGATGAAAAGCTTAGGCAAATGAATGGTGTTCATATATGAAAGCAATTCATATATTCCATACAAACCCACAAAGGACTTACTGTACCGTGTACAATACAACTCTGTTATCATTATCACTGCGAGTATCACTTTGTACCGGATGGAAAAGTCTTATCAGACTGAGATTAATAAAGCTTATTTTCTCCTGTCTTTATTCGGCTATGTTGGAAGAATTTTGAGAAAAAATATCATCACAATCATATTCGGTATATTTGGACATTTTTATCCGCAGTATCTACACTATATATACAGCTGAAAACAGACTTTGTTAAAAATCTATACTATCATACACATTCTGGTAAAAACGGTCCGGATAAAAACCCAAAACAACGAGATTCAACAATATTGTCTATGGTCTATCTATCTTACTCTGTAGATTGTACAAGATTGAAGTATTTTTTTGACAGGTGACTCAACCATGATCGGCTATTCATCTCCACTCACCATAAAACTCATCTCTGTTCACGATATTGATTTGACCATCATGTCAAGTTTCAACCAGAGTTGAGATGAGCATGGTATTCACATGGTCCTAACCATTTGGCTACTTTGCCAGAATCGATGTATCCAGAGTCCTCTATTATCACAATAGCAAAGCATTGAATTCTTCATTCTCATCTACTGCACGCACTAACCAGGGATCACTTTCGCGAATATTATGTTTGATGATGCATCATCTTACTCGTTGAAGGTTGTTGTGTAGCCTGGTATCCACTAGCACCCTGTGATGTTCCTTCTTGTGCTGGAAGATTTGGCAACCCTTTGTGCCACTGAAAAACAATAGAAGATACATTTGTTAAGTTGGCTCGATTAGCTAAATCGAACCATCAAGTTTTAAATCTTTCAATAAAGACTTACTTCAATGAGTTTATGTTCTTTGCTCTGAATCGCTTCACCATGACCTAAACATTGTAAACAACATCGCAATTCAGAAATACAGTACTTATAGGTATAAATACAGAAATAACATCCTTGTTAATATTATCAGACATGTTGCAAGGTTGTTCCAACAAGTCCGAAACATTCATGATATAACAACACTGTTACAACCTTGTGTCGTCAACCTCGTAACATTCTTGTTACATCATGACTGTATCAGACTTGTTAGAACAACCTTGTAACTAGTCTGATAATGATATTTGTGATGTTACTCTGAGTGTATATCCACACCGGGCGAGCTTGAAAAATATGCCCGGCCACGGTGGGAATCGAACCTACGACCTTTGGAATACTAGCCCAATGCTCTGCCGACTGAGCTATGTGGTCAGGTCGATTCGAGTATGTGATATTTCGGAACAAAATCTAGTTCCTTCGATATCAATGTAATCTAATAATATAATACGTACAGTAGCTCAGTTGGCAGAGCATTGGGCTAGTATTCCAAAGGTCATAGGTTCGATTCCCACCGTGGCCGAGCATATTTTTCAAGCTCGCCCGGTGTGGATATACACTCAGAGTAACATCACAAATATCATATTCACCTGAGTACACAACACCAACACAGAAAAATCATAGTCTGATAATACCATCAAGCTTGTTACAAGTTGTTAACAGCTTATCCCAAACTTGTTACAACATCTGGGAACAAGCAGTGCGAACACAACCTGTCGACAGTGTGTGAACAGATTCGTAACAACAATAATATATCCGAAATATCATTTGCTCGAACCGTCCTGACCGCGTAGCTCAGTTGGAAGAGCATTGGGCTAGTATTCCAAAGGTCGTAGGTTCGTATCCGACCGTGGCCGGGCATATTTTTCAAGCTCGCCCGGTGTGGATATGCACTCAGAGTAACATCACAAACATATCGTAACAACATGTTTGCAAACCTGTAACAACTTGTGCGTTTTTATGTGTGTAGTCTTGTAATTACAACTTATTTATTTGTATTTTTCTGTGCTATACAGACGTAAAAACGCACAAGTTATTACAGGTCTGCGAACAAGTTGTTACAAATCTGTTGTTACACTACTTGTTTGTAGTTGTTGTAACAAGTCTGGAACAAGCTTGATGGCATTATCAGACTTGTTACAAGGTTGTTCTAACAAGTCTGATACAGTCATGATATAACGAGAACGTCACAAGATTGACGACACAAGGTTGTAACAATATTGTTATATCATGACTGTATCGGACTTGTTGGAACAACCTTGCAACAAGTCTGATAGTACCAACAAGGTTGATATAAGTTGTTAACAAGCTTGTTCCAAACTTGTTGACAACTTGGGACAAGCAGTCCAGGTGATCTCGTGTTCGTATTTTAGCCAATCAGCGCTCAGAAAGGGTTGTCCGAATAGAAATCCATTTTGATGTATTCAATCAATTATATCTTTCATGATTCTTTATGAAACTAGTTGAAATTTTGTAATTATGTTTGGTTATGAGAACTATAGCTCTGACAAAAATATGGAATCAAAATAAAGTATATTACAGGAGATATTCAGTTGTTTTAATCATAAAATGGATTTCTATTTGACAACTAGTGCCAGTAGTTTTCCGCGTATCAAGATCACCTGGGTGTGAACGCAACTTGTTGACGGCTTCTTGGCAGACTTGCTACAAGATGCGTGATTCTTACGCGTGTGCAGTGGCCATTTACTTACTGCTGAGAAGTTTCTTCGTGAAACCGCTATGTATCTGAAATGATTCGGATTCTCTCGTGTGATCTCCGATATGCCGATATAAATCTAAAAATAAGAATGATCAAAGTCTCCGATAAGTGCCGTTCAATTCCGCCAAAAGAGACCTTACGATTATAGGACGTCAACGCGACGATGACGGCCAAAACAAACTCCTTCAAATAAATGGTAGTATATTATCAATCGTATGAATTTAATACAGTCATAAAAGTTGAAGACATGGGTTTTATGGTTGGGAAGAGTTCTACTGAACCCAGTTTGAAGTTGCACTTGTTGCGGCTTGAAAAGCAGCCGTTGTATCAACACGTGAAAATCTGTGATTTGGCGTTGTAAACAGAACGAAGGACAATGTCTAAATTATACATATATTGTAATTATTCAATTCTTTTCAATGATTTATTGTATTGGTAACCGTTGTCGCCGCGTTGCCGTCCTAAATCGTCAGGTCTCTAACATCAGCTGCAGTAAAACTAGTAAACAGTCATACCTCTTAGCAGAGAAGCGCCCCACAACTGAATATATGCATCTGGCATCTTTTCTGCCATTTGCATTCCAGGTTTAACCATGTCCAGCGCTTCCTGTGGCAAGAAATCATCAATTAAATTGAATGGTAACATCATTTTGAGGATCATAAAATTAGTCTTCACAGCACTAAATTAAACTAACTGTATATTACTGAATAGCTACAGCATACCAGTTCTAAACAACCCTCCCTAGAGGTCCAGTAAGGATCATCCCTTATTGATCCAGTACGTGTTACTTCAGGAGGAAACCTAAACTAACTTTATTTTTACTGGATAGCTCTATCAGTTCTAAACTGTTATTCCTAGAGGTCGAGTAAGGATCATCTCTTATTGATCGAGTGTTACTACAGGGGGAAACCTAAACTAAACAAAAATTATTTATACTGGATAGCTCTATCAGTTCTAAACTCTCTCCCTAGAGGTCCAGTAAGTATCATCTCTTATTGATCTAGTGATACTACAGGAGGAAACCTAAACTAAACTAACTTTATTTATACTGGATAGCTCTATCAGTTCTAAACTGTCCTTCCTTGAGGTCCAGTCAGGATCGTCTCTTATTGATCCAGTGTTACTACAGGAGGAAACCTAAACTAAACTAACTTTATTTATACTGGATAGTTCTATCAGTTCTAAACTGTTCTTCCTAGAGGTCCATTAAGGATCATCTCTTATTGATCCAGTGATACTACAGGAGGATAACACGGTATTTCAGAGAAAACCTGTGGGGTTTGGTAGAGTCAAACTGGACGCACTCTTCTCACATGTGACTGAGGTGAAATTATAATGAGACAACTGTATATTGCGGAAATGGAACCTCGGTCATAGAGGTAAAAGATCGTTCACTATATAGATGAGACAATGAAATACTCGTACCTTTAAATTTCCATTCTTAAGAAACGTGTGTCCCAATAGTATCAAAGCACACGCTGTTAATCTGTGCGATTCTTCCGCGTTTGATATTTTTAGTGTTTCACGTAAATAGCGCCTGGGGATACAAGAAAACACGAAATTATTCTCCGTGATTGACGGAGTTCTCCAGAGGGAAGTATGCGAGGTGTGGACACGGTAGGCTTGGAACGAGAATGATAAGTGAAGATCTTACCTCGCGTCCTGGTATTTCGCTTCAAAGAAAGACTTCAGTCCCATGATGTAGTGATAGCTTGCTAGCATATTGCTAGACCTGTGTTTTATACAATAATCTATTTATCTGAAAAGTTTAACATGTTGTAAAAACATTTTTTCAACTTACCTCAACGAAGCCCTGTCAGGATTTGAAAAGTTTTGTATTAACTCTTCAAGCTGAAATCATAATAATTATTATAGATACTAAGATGTAGGAAAATTATCGTTTGATCTCTCTAATTTCAGGTTAAGAAAATATATTCAAGTACCTTCGCTTTACGAGATTCTCCCATTCTGATATAGACAACACAAAGATTCAATGCAATTAACGAATATTGTTCGGTGTTATGACAAGCCTACAAGAACAAAAAGAACACATCATTAGTATGTGTGGTGTACTGTATATTTCAGTGGAAGATAAATCATTACTCACCCTAAGTGCAACTCTGAATTGGAACTCTGCAAATTCCATTTGATTCATGGACATTGAGTACAAGCCCTATAATGAAGGGATTGATATCTCTATATTCATCGATACTCTATATTCTCCAATCCGAGTTAGCGTAATTAATTTTGCAGACCTTTGCCGAAAATGGATCCCAGAATCGACTTTTCTTAAACTAGTCTATGCCGAAAATTTTACGTTGTTTGGACAGTTAGGTCGCGAGTAACAACGTTTTAAATATTTGCTTTTTTTGTATATGTTTGAATGGAATTTGCTGCTGCTGAAACATTTGGATATCATTACTCATTAGAATAATTTGAGCATGACGATTTCAATTCTGGAGTTCATTTTTGCCAAGTATCAAAATGAAAAATTGATAGTTCGCGCCATATCATATGATCTGCATTCTGAATTTCGGATTTCCCAGCATCATATCAAATGCTTGACAATGTTAGAACTAAAAAACCCCAAATAACCTCATTCTTAATTATTAGATTAATAAAAATAAGAATGTTTACCAGTAGTGTGTGTAACATTGCACTGTGGGTATTCAGAAGCCTTGGGGTACAAACGCGGAAAGCAGACGCTATCTAAAATACAATAATAAAAAGTTAAATAAACAATTATTGCCGTCTATGAATCGTGCTAATCTATAGCGAATATTCACCTTGTTGATGGCATGATTCGACTGCCCTTCAATAACGTGTGTGACAATCACATTTTCCAATAACATGAGTTCAAATACAGAAAGCAAATGACTTGGTTGCTTTTCTAAATGAAACAAAAATAAGACAATAAACAAATAATTAATGTGTACATATAACTCTGTTATGACCAGTTCCATTTTGACGTACAACAATCAAAACTACCATGATTCATTTTATACACAATTTTTAAAATTTCTGTATTCCAAGTGTACTTTCCAATTGTATTCTCAAAAAGAATTTTTGTTGTACTGTACCTTTTAAAGAAGCTATTTTTCCTAATGCTTTTTCACTGTATTTTAGCGACTTGGCAATATGGCCCGCTTGGATACAATGGATGACAGTTAGCTATGATCAAGAAAAACATACTGTATGTCAAATTAACACCAAAACCACTACTATAAATACTGATAATACACAAGTATAAATGATACACCCAGGGCATATTAACAACTGTTTGGTAGCTCAAAGTTTTATAAAGTAAGCAACATACCAAATAAACTATGATGCAAAGATGATCAACAGGAAGCCACTGAAACTTCTCATATTCTGGGACTTTTGCTCCTGCACAGAAAAACATGGTGCAAATAGTCAGATTGTTCATGTACAGTACTGTCTGTACTGTACTAAGAGTCCCCAAAATGTAAAAAAAAAAACACTGCATAATATGTTTGGTTACTACATAGCCTACCATCAGACAGAACCAGGGCTCAAAATAACGGTCAATGAGACAATGACCGGCCACATTTTTAATATGACCGGTCAAATTTGTATGATGTCGGTCATAGTGACCGACCACATTTTTTTTTTTTTTTTTTTTTTTTTTTTGAGGGTATATCATTATATTTATTTATTTACTTTGCCATCATACTTATACATTCATTGGCTGGGAAACCACAACAGCTATTGCCAATTACAGCGGCCATTTTGGCTCTGGGAACGAGATTGATTTTTATGCTGTTGCATGTGGACCCGTTAAATATCATGTAAGGATTTTCTTCGTATTAAACTTTTTATTCCAATTTAAGTTGTTGAATTTCTTATGCCAACTGCTGGTCAGATAACTTATAATAGACCAAATTAAGATATGACGAAGTTTATATTTTTAAAAACCTTTAATTGTGTTATAATTATACTGCGTGCATCTCGGCATCAACAGAATCGACAGTCACAACTGAAGTTAAGAGCGCCGCGAGATGAAATTTGATCGTTGCTTAATACATTGAGTAAGCAATGCGTTGCAGGGAGGCGAGTATTCGTGGGGTCTCGTAGGAGTTGACCTGTCAGGAATCGCATTTGACCGATCACAATGGAACTGACCTGTCACCATGACCTGCGTAACATGAATCGTTATTTTGAGCCCTGGAAACTAGCTAGGCTACTGTACCTTCCATTGGTTCAAGCGTGGTGATCATCTGAATACTTTGCTGGAGTTGTTTCATATATGCTCTCATTGTTTTTGGCTGTATGGTAGAAGAATGATGGCATTCAGTATGTGGTCAGGTTTATTTCTCACAACATTGCCAGTCATGCCAGTTTATGAAAGCCAGACTATAGCAGAAGGTTTTCTTTTTTAAAGAAAATGAATATAGTGTTTCTGTACCTGACCAGACGCAATGCCAAACCAAGTTTGTAAAGCAAGATAAAATATCCTGACGTGTTCCACTTGTACTGGGGGACCTCGCCAAACTTCCAAATAAGGACCGAAGTTTCCCAACAACATTGACGCCTGATTGTAATCTTGTAGCACCAGTAAATACTAACAAGAGAAAAGTTATCAAAAAATTAACATCTTAGTGTAATTCGCACAAAAATGAAAAAGGAACTTTCTACAATGCCAAGCAATACAGACTACAGTTTACCAGGCAATGTATTGCACATGGAAAGATGTATTGCATCAGTAATTATTAACTGGAAAACCAGTGACCATTGATGAGGAAGACCCTGTTCATCATTTGTACAACAACTGCTTGAAGACACAGGACTTGAATGAAAAATTGTTGGTGGGGCTACAGTATAGTTTCAACCACAGTTGCAATGACAGATACAGACAGAAGATAATATTTCATGTCATTAATCTATATCCAGACAAATATTACTTTCTATATGGGTTATTAAACCCTTCAAGTGGCAATGCACTTGCACCCTGATGCGCCCTACTTTAGTATTTTATCCTGTCTAACGCCACGGCCAGACGATTTGACTCGTCAAGTGGAGAGTGCTGCCACTCAATGGGTTAAGCCAACTACATTTATGTGCATGCCATATACTGTAGATCTTCTTTTGAATCATGATGCAGCAATTCGTCCTAATATCCCATAGTTAGTCATACTCTGTCTAATGCCAGAGGATTTTACTCGTCAAGGGGAAAATGTCGAGCATTAACATTATATCACATACCAAAACTCGGCTCAAGATAAACAAGCATCTGAAAATGAATATATTATTTTAATATGGTTATAATATATCAGAAAATTTATTGTATTAATTAAAGAACTAAAAACCAGGGCCGTAAGGACGTATATAACGTAACGAAAATGGAGTTCTAGCTTTTGAAAACCGAGTTTTGGCATTTGAAAATGGAGTTCTGGCAATTTGAAAAGGTAGTTCGCCAATTTGAAAACTGAGTTTCGGAATTTGAAACGAGAGTTATGGCATTTGGAAAGAGAGTTTTAGCATTTGAAAACGGAGTTTTAGCAATGTTTGAAAATGGAGTTCTGGCTTTTGAAAAGGTAGTTTTGGCATTTGAAAAGGGAGTTCTGGAATTTGAAAACGGAGTTCTGGCATTTGAAAACGGAGTTCTGGCACTTGAAGACAGGGTTTTAGTATTTGAAAAAGGTAGTTTTGGCATTTGAAAATTCAGTTTTGGCATTTGAAAAGGGAGTTTTGGCTTTTCAAAACGGAGTTTTGGCATTTGAAAACTGAGTTTTGACATTTGAAAACTGAGTTTTGGCATTTGAAAACTGAGTTTTGGCATTTGAAAAAGGAGTTCTGGTTTTGAAAAAGAAGTTCTGGCAATTTGAAAACTGAGTTTTGGCATTTGAAAACGGAGTTTGGGCATTTGAAAACGGAGTTTTGGCATTTGAAAAGGGAGTTCTGGCATTTGAAAACAAAGTTTTAGCATTTGAAAACGGCGTTTTGGCATTTGAAAAGGGAATTTTGTCATTTGAAAACGAAGTTCTGGAATTTGAAAAGGTAGTTCTGGCAATTTGAAAACTGAGTTTTGGCATTTGAAAGCTCAGTTTTGGCATTTGAAAAGGGAGTTCTGGCATTTGAAAAGGGAGTTTTGGCATTTGAAAAGGGAGTTCTGGCATTTGAAAACTAGGGAGTTCTGGCATTTGAAAACCAGGGCTGCAAATTACTGTCGGACATCAGACAATGTCCGACTAAATTTGGCAAATGTCCGAGCAAAAGTAATTTTGATCGGACATTGGTCCGATCAAAAAAATACATTGTCACATTATACATTTTTTTGCTGTGACAAAATCTGATTGCAAATTCAGTCAATTTGCATTTTGCAATAAAATTTATGAGGCATTCTAGCATTTTACTTAACGTTGCACCGGAATGGCTATACATACTTGTCTTGTGACTTATATATATCTTGTGACGTAAATATGTCCGACCAAATTCAAGTTATGTCCGACAAAAATTAAAACTGATCGGACAAATGTCCTGTCAAGTCAAATATTTACTTGCAGCCCTGGAAAACTGAGTTTTGGCATTTGAAAAAGGAGTTCTGGCATTTGAAAAGGAAGTTCTGGCATTTGAAAAGGGAGTTCTGGTATTTGAAAACTGAGTTTTGGCATTTGAAAAGGGAGTTCTTGCATTTGAAAGGGGAGTTCTGGCATTTGAAAAGGGAGTTCTGGCTTTTGTCCCCCCCCCCCCCACACACACACACCTAGAAGTTACACCCCTGCTGAAAAAACTATAAGTTAATATATGGTACTTAATAAAAAAGAAAGGTTAATCATTCTACTGTAGCTACAGTAAGTTCACCTCATGTACTCTGATCCATTCTGTTGAGAGAATTGTTCTCCAGCAACAAGCACCTGGATTGCACTGGGAATGTCATTGCATGACGCATGAATTTCCTGTTTGAAAGTAAAATTACATTTGGTGCACTGATTTTAGTAGAACAACAAGTTTATCAGATTATACACAGAGCTCTTCATTAAACTTACTGCAAGATCAAACAAAGTTTGATAATACAAATGCAAACAATTTAACTTTTGGGTCACTTTCAAAGCAAGCTGAAGGTAGGGTATACACGACCGAGGCTCATTCTGGAAAGAAAATGTATTTTATGCAAATTATATCAAAATATACTCATTATCAAAACACACTAATCATTTTAAAGGTGATGTAAAGTCTGTTCTGTGCAGGCCTATATTCCAATGGTCGGGACGCGACTATTGGAATGTTGTTAATATTTCGCACCTTCCGAACTTTCTTGAATTGAATCTCCAGTCTGTATTAATTTACAAGCATAGCAAACCAGAAGAGTGTTAAAAATTCAGTATAATATATATCTAATCATATTTTACAACTGTAGCACTGAGTTCAAAATGAAAACAAAACGTTTACCAGACTTTACATCACCTTTAGGCGTAAAAAAAATACCTGTGGTTCCGGTTTCAAATCGTGAAAAAATTAGGGTCAGTAGGTCGGAAATAAATTTTTTTTTGAGTATTTTTTTCATGGTTTTGGCGGTTTTTTGCTGGGCGATTTGCAGTAGAGTCCCGACATCAATATTAACTAGAGATGCGTATTTCCTATGGACAAATTTAGGCAATTTGGTTCAATAATTAGTGTGACAACAGACGCCATTTTGGCACACTGTACGAGCAGCCCGCAACTACCTGGAGAAAATAGGGTCGCACGGTCAATCGCGTTGAAAAAATAATAGGGTTCGGCAGAAAAAAATAGGGTCGGTCGGGAACCGGAACCACAGGTAAACATAGTTGAATGTATGTTGTATCATATTTTTGGCATTATATTCTGCAACTTACAAGAGTTTTAAATATTTCTTTCAGTTGAGAAACTGCTTGGCATAGTAGCTCTTCACAACCAGGCCCAAGCTAAAATATTATATGTTAAGGATATGTCATACTCTGCAGTCTGGACAAGAGACATTATTACAGTATCACACAGTCAATTTATGAATGCCTAAACGTAGCACCTTCCCATTCACCTGTAAAATAATCTGGTGTACAAACACAGAAAAATACAAAGGTACAGAGCATTAGGGAATGGTATGCAATTATTAAAGTTAATAGGTTAATTATTAGCAAAGAATGTTCTAATTTGTATTTCAATATCAAAGTAAAACATTAAATCATTTGTACAATAAAAGGATACAGTTTGAATGATTGCGACCTAAAATATTAAATTAACATTAGGTTAGTAAATATATTGTGTATTATTAAACATAGCTTTTTACAAAAAATTCATTCTAAATCATTCGCCCAAAATCGCCCCTTTAAACACTCATAAAAATCATATACATTGGGCAATTCATCTCTTTGAGACATTTCTACTAACAGTTTGAAGTGTAAACTTTACTTTAGTTCCAAACAAACAATCATCTCACAGAGCAAACATACCGATCTTTCAAAGTGTGATCTAGCCAAATCGACATTCTCGGTATATTTCAACAAAATGTTCCCCAGTTGTACTCTGATGTGAGCTTCGAAGGGCGGAGGTAGTTTATAACTAAATATAGCTTCCAAACAATGGATACAATGTCTAATTCTGGGCGGATCAGATCTTAAATAAGCGTCAGCGATGCCTAAAAGTGCAGTGTAACCAGCTTCGTTGTCAAAATGATCCGCCATGTTTATTTTCTCTTCCCACCCGACTCTCTCCCCTGCCGCAGATTTAAATGTCGCGAACGCGCTCGAGATGAAGTTTTTTGAAACTTCAAAAAAAGTTTATTATATAAAGTTTATTATAACAAAAATATTATGCATTAACAAGGTTAACAAAAGTGCATTAAATGTCGCCAATATAGTTGCAAAAAGTGGAATTTTGAGGCTAAAATCTACGAAATAAAGTAGGTGTTTTTTGTCTTTTTTGGAATTAATGTTGCGAATCGGTAACCTGCGATCAGGCGTTCTTGGGGAATCGGGCGTACGCAGTCCTTGCCACTGATCTATATATTATATATATGTATCACGTTTTTAAAAACATTCAAAATCGTTCTGTTTTTATTCGGTTTTGTTGTGGTTTTTCTTGTGTGATCTGTAGATTTCTGCTCTTTCATAATGTCGGATATGGATGATGATTTTATGTGTGACGAAGACGACGATTATGATTTGGTAAGGCTTTTGGATTTACTTGTTTGGCCGAATCTGAACTGTCAGGAGCTGAATGTAGAATTTGAAAGATGAAATTGTACCTGTTAATGTTCTCTGGACGAGGTTAAAGTACATCTTGCTACCCAGAGCGGATCTAAAAGCACATATCACAGCCAGGAATTTGGGTCACCAAGAAAGACTTAATAATATAGGGTAAACAGGCTTGTAGCAAGCTTGTCAACAAGTTGTAACAATGCTGTTATTTTATCAAGTTGCTACAAGGTTGTCACTCACAACTTGTTGACAAATCGTTGAATTGCAGGACGATAACAAGTTGTTGGAACAACTCGTAACAAGTCTGCTGAGCTCAACAACCTTGTAGCAAGTTGTCGGCTTGTCAACAAGCTGGTAACAAGCAGTGCGAACAAATCCTGCTGACAAGTTGTTGGAACAGCATTGCATGCTACAAATCTGCTGCTGCAAGTTTGTTACAACTTGTGAATTTTTACGTGTGTATATCAAATGAATGCTCTCTAGGAATACGAAGAAGATACAAACTCGGAACCTGATGTGGATTTAGAAAACCAGTATTATAACTCAAAAGCAATGAAAGAAAATGATCCCAACGGTGCTTTGGGAAGTTTTCACAAGGTAATAATGCCACCTTAATTAAGCATTTCTCAATAATTGTGCAGCACTTTTCAATAAAAATTGATAATATGTAGTTTTTAACTTTGAATTTTCATTTTGTCTGAAAAGGTTTTGGATTTAGAAGAAGATAAAGGGGAATGGGGATTTAAAGCTTTGAAACAAATGACAAAAATTAACTTTAAAATTGTAAGTTGCTACCATTTAGTGCAACCTATTATTTTACTTTTATAACTTACTGCAGATATACAATATACTATTTGTTAATTTAGGGAAACTATGCAGAAATGATGCAACAATACAAACAACTTCTTACTTATATAAAGGTATCTAGAACCACTGTCAAAATCACCTGAACACCATCATCATCAACATCATCACCATCTACCATCACTACAACTACCATCATCACCATCATCACTACAACTACCATCATCATCACACCATCATCATCACCACCATCATCATTGATTTACATAAAAAATACAAAACATTTCATTCCAGATGGAGCTACTCCAAGATTTCTATGAAACAACTTTAGATGCTTTAAAGGATGCAAAAAATGACAGACTATGGTTTAAAACGAACACTAAAGTGAGAAGGAAATAAATCTTGAAATTATTGAAGTTTTTTTATTTTGGTTGACCAATTACAGTAGCAACCATTGCTCTTCTGCCTTTTTTCTTCAGCTTGGAAAATTATATTACGACAGAGAAGAATTTGCAAAATTGTCAAAAATTCTGAAACAACTTCATCAGTCTTGTCAGGTATAGCGTTTGTACAAAAATGTTCATCAGTTGAAGTGTTCAAAAGTTTTGTATTTATTATAAATTCATGCCCTGCTAGGCAGAGGCTTAATTATATAAAATCTCTTTTCCAATGTAGACTGATGAAGGTGATGATGATTTAAAGAAGGGAACGCAATTGTTAGAAATTTACGCCTTAGAAATTCAGATGTATACTGCACAGGTGAATAAAATGGACACCGTAATGAAGTTTTTCCCTACTGAGTGTGGCTACTTTTACACTAGGATAACTTTCCGTAGCGACGTGAAAAACAGCTATCCGTACCTTTTAGGAACGCTATTTTCAGAAGAATTATTGCAACGGAGAGATGTTGTTTCTCTCAGCTTTTGAAAGTTGTCATTCCGTATCGGATAGGTGCATTTTCGCGCCAGGGTTCTTGTCCTGTAAGAGCCATTCCAGTGTTGTCGAGGGACTTTTGTTCCCTGAGCAAACCTGTTGTGTTTGGTAGAGCCAAACTGGACAATTACAAACTTAGTTGGTGAAACCAACATGTGGCACAACACTCATTTAAACACACTGTAAATCTTAGCGTACTTTCTGACTAACGATGTACTTTTCTCTTTATGACAGAAAAATAACAAGAAACTCAAGGTATATGAAGAACTAGACCTTACATCTCTTTTTAGACATTTTGCGTGCATGCATTGTTTGATTTAGACAATTACTGTACTCGTTTATTTTGTAGAAATTATACGAAAAGTCTCTTCATATTAAGTCTGCAATTCCACATCCTTTAATCATGGGTGTCATAAGAGGCAAGTATTCGAATTCGTTGTTAAATCTTTACACATGAAATGACTTGAGTTTCGAGTGAAAACTAAACTCACGATCTTCCAAGTGAAAGGCACATTTGTGCAGTGAACACATTGCTAGTATCACGCCGCAAAATGGTCATTGCATCTCTGAATACTTGTGTGAACAGGTGGAATCAGTCCAAAAACGAGCTCTCCGCATCATATATGCAAGAATTCTTCATATTCGGAAAACAAGGAGATTATTACGTTAATGTCACTCAAAGACCGAAGAGGAAGTCTATGTCGTAAATATCTTAACCGAGTAAATATGCCAAGCAATCGCCTTTTTAACCTTTTACCATCTAGTAGTCGGAACATCAATATAACTTGAGAAATGATCGCCTTCCGTCTATTAAGACTAAAACTGAACTTTTTAATAATTTTATATTCTCTTATAGCTTATTTTGAATAATGTATCTTAGTTAATTTCGTATAATGTAAAAACGTGTAATTCAATCTTTGATTGCAAAACTTTTTTTTAAAAAATCAATCAATCAATTTCCTTTTTAATTTAAAAAACAACATCCTGTTTGTTCTAGAATGTGGCGGGAAGATGCACTTACGCGAGGCCGATTACGACAAGGCACACACAGATTTTTTTGAAGCTTTCAAAAATTACGATGAATCAGGAAGCCCAAGGTACAATATTGTACAAACGTTATACCGGATATCTCTATCAGTTCTAAGCTGTTCTCTGAGCAGTCAGTACATGATTTTTAACCAATATGTGGATTAATAGCACACTCAGTAATAGTTTCATTTTCTAGGAGAACAACTTGCTTGAAATATCTTGTGCTTGCTAACATGTTGATGAAATCTGGTATAAATCCCTTTGATTCACAAGAGGTGAACATCGGTCGTTTACATTTCATGTTTAACATTTTGAGTAGCTTCTTATGTCACGAAGAACTCTGCCAAAGTCTCTTACTGTTTTCATATTTCTTAGGCGAAACCATACAAGAACGATCCAGAAATCTTAGCAATGACCAATTTAGTAAGGTAACTGTTTTAAACAATTTTTGAGGAACAGTAGAGTTTTGAACATCGAAATTACACTTTCCACTACCCTCCGTTTCAAAAAGGAGCTCACGAGTTCAACGTCATCATCTGATATATTATTTTAGCGCTTATCAGAATAACGATATCAACGAATTTGAAAAAATCCTTAGAACAAACAGGTGAGATGTGATTATTATAAAACGGATAACACCTATAATCTTAAAATTAGAAAAACTGACATGGTGTTTCTTAAACCGAAGAAAGTCGGATTTCGGCAAGAAGTGCTTTACTATAATTGTGCTGCACTTTGCAGGGAATTAGCTACCTTACGAGGCGAAAATTACCCCATTCCTAAGTACCTTTCAAATTATTAAACAAGGAATGCTTTGAAACTGGCTCATCAATTTTCATCTTTGAATCTGTATATGATATGTATTTTCATATGTGATATGCATACTTATTTTTAGAAAGAATATAATGGATGATCAATTCATTAGAGAACATATAGAAGGTTTTTGAGTTTGTTATTTAAACGATTCCTCCAGATTTTTGTATTGTACGAATATCTCATTCATGTATTATAATGTAGTTCTCTTTTCAACTTAGATTTATTGCGTAACATAAGAACACAAGTTCTAATAAAACTAATCAAGTAAGCTATGCTGTCCTATAATTCTCTTTCAATGCAAAGTTGGAATCCTATTTCAATGTAAATGTAGATTCTCACTAACAAATTATGTCACTTGGGAAATATAAAGAGACGTTCTGCTTGTTGACAGTTGTTGTATCTCTTTGCTGTCTTCGGCGTTATCTACAGCACACTGGTACGACCAGTTCGAGATTGTAATATTACACCATATCATATTTTACATCTTGCAGGAACTAAATATACTTGTATTTTGGATAGGTAAAATAGAAAAACAAGACAATTTACTGACATTTGCCCTTACTGGACCTCTAGGGAGAACAGTCCCTATCCAGTAAAGAATGGCTCTTACTGGACTTCCGTGCAGTATAAATAAAGTTGTTAGTTTAGTTTAGGTCTCCTCATATAGGACTTAGCCACGAATGAATGCCTCTTACTGGACCTTGAGGAAGAACAGTTTATAACTGAAGAGCTATCCAGTAAACATAAAGTTAGTTTAGTTTAAATCTCCTCTTGTATAGTAACACTGGATCAATAAGAGATGATCCTTACTGGACCTCTAGGAAGAACAGTTTAGAACTGATAGAGCTATCCAGTATAAATAAAGTTAGTTTAGGTTTCCTCCTGTAGTAACACTGGATCAATAAGAGATGACCCTTACTGGACCTCTAGGAAGAACAGTTTAGAACTGATAGAGCTATCCAGTATAAATAAAGTTAGTTTAGTTTAGGTCTCCTCCTGTAGTAACACTGGATCAATAAGAGATGATCCTTACTGGACCTCTAGGAAGAATAGTTTAGAACTGATAGAGTTATTCAGTATAAATAAAGTTAGTTTAGTTTAGGTTTCCTCCTGTAGTAACACTGGATCAATAAGAGATGATCCTTACTGGACCTCTAGGAAGAACAGTTTAGAACTGATAGAGCTATAAGTATAAATAAAGTTAGTGTATGTCTCCTCATGTAGTAACACTGGATCAATAAGAGATGGCCCTTACTGGACCTCTAGGAAGAATAGTGTATAACTGATAGAGTTATTCAGTATAAATAATATTAGTTTAGTGTAGGTCTCCTCCTGTAGTAAGACTGAGCCACGAAGGAATGTCTCTTATACTAGACCTTGAGGAAGAACAGTTTATAACTGAAGAGCTATATGCAGTAAACATAAAATAAATTTAGTTCAAGTTTGTAAAGTGTAATTTCTAAGTACGTTATTTCTCCAACAGTACAATACCAGGCAAGATAGACCAAGTTAACCAACTGTTGGAACTCGATAAAACATCACAAGAAACTGCAAGGTATATTTTGGTTTCTTCAGTTGTGATAATTTATACTCAAGCTTGAACTTCACTTGTACTCATGATTCTTACTTCGTCTTTTGACAGGTTTACAGCGCTTGATCGTTGGACAACGCAACTAGACTCCTTAAGCTCGGCGGTCGTCAACAAGATAACGTAGTCACTAAGCATTTGTGATGTACATTTTGTAGCTGAAATTTGTGTAATAAATTCATTCTTTGTATAAAAAATGTAATATTTGTATTATCCGTGGCTTATAACTACCTGAAGAAACACTTGTCGAATGAAGGCTTTTGGTTAGTGGTCAGTAGCCAACATGCTAAAGAAAAGGTACAAGTTAACCTCCTCCGCAGCACCCATTCGCAGACTAAAACCCATAGAGAGGCCTGCGGAGGAGGCTAGGTACAAGTATCTTTCTCAGAATCACGGCGGCTTTATATTGTAGAATACTACCTACACTGGACCACCACGTTTGAGATATCTTTTCCAGGTAGTTCAGACACAAACCACAACAGCTTATTGTAGAATACTACCTACGCTGGACCACCACGTTTGAGATATCTTTTTCGGGTAGTAGCTTATTGTAGAATACCTACACTGGACCACCACGTTTAAGATGCAATATTCCATAACTACGAGATATTTATCAGTGGCGAAAACTAAGAGGAAAACCCACATTCCCAATAATTTCAAAAAACCTTTGATTGACAGCTGAGTAACTGTGCAACAAATCTCTGACAATTATTTTTCGACCATGAAAGCGTGGTAGACTATAGATTAAGCTATGTATTGCATGAAATTTAAGGCAAAAACTTTAAAAACCTAAGATTTCCAGCAACAAAAGGTGGTCAGATGGTCTCCCTCCGCCCCCACAACCTAATTGGCCGCCATTGATATTTTTAATTCTTTCATAAATATTAAAAGCAATCTAAAGTTAGGCACAATAAGTGTTTGCACTCTATGTATGCCAAGTTCATGTTTGGATTACGAAATGCTGGAATGCCACATCATGACCTTTGAATGACCTTTACTGCCTAGACCATCACAAATCTTCTAGTTTATCAATATATGTGAAAATTCTCATTGTCTTTTTTCCAATGTAGGCAATAGTCACAAGACACAAACGTTTAACCGATATACATTTCAACCATTACGGGCTATCTTCGCCGCACAAAATCGCCTGATGATTCAACCCATTCCATGCGTACGAATTGAGCGCAGTCCCCCAGACCTTCGTATATTGACAAACTCGTCTCGTATCAGGCGTTTTCGTTCTGTTACTATCTTTGTTTGCTATCCTTTCCAACATTGCGTCCGTCTGTTCTTTTGTGAGTCCTGCATCTCGTTTGTCGGAGCTTCGTTTCTTCTTTGTCGAGTTATCAGAATATTTCTTCGGAGTACTCAGTCGATTAACCATAGCTTCGATGGCCCCAGAGCTTATTTTTTGATGTCCTAATTGCAGACGTGTTTTTTCCATCGTTCCTCATATATCAGAAGCCATTAAAAGGTTGTAATTTCGGCCAGTTCAATGACAGGCTTTGCTTTTCCTATTCTCTAGCTATACTAATAAGGGAAAAGCAAATTTGAAATTATAATAACAAAGTCCACTTACTAAGTTCTTATGGAAATATGAAACTGCCAAATATAATCATTTAATTCATTGAATATTGACACTGTTTATATACCATTATGTTACTTTGACGTCAGTTTTTGATTCATCGGTTTTCATTGAATATATCTTGCTAGCGAAATGACTGTTGTCACACAAAATAATCGTCAATGAATGCAATAAACGCTAAATTTTTAATCCTTTAAGGCCTTAATTAACGCGCTTTTAAAATAATCACTAAAATATATGCATACAAGTCCATGTTTTATGCGCAATTACTATAGAAACCGTTTTGTTGGTGCAAATGTGAAAAGAAGATGGACGCATTTTGTCTGGTAATTCGCAGAGAGTATTTTGTTTAGAATATAGTTAATTTATCGCTTTTTGGTCTTGCATCTGATATTGCTAGGAACATCAGAAACAAGTATTTTATTTATACGTGAGCGAAGAACGTCGAGGTATTCAAAGGCAAAACGATTAATATACACATTAAATGTGATTTATTATTTACCACAGTCGAAGGTAATAGACTTTCACTTGGTTAAAGAAACACGGGAGTAAAAAGAGTATTATTTAACACTGTCCAAAGGACCAGTGTTTTGCTTAAAGTGGCTTTGTGAAGAACTCAGAATTTCAGACATCAAAGTTATCACATCCCTATAATAGAAGTGTTACTGTTAATAGTCAGAATCTGATGTATTCTGCATCTAAAATTCGTAAACCGTGGGGAACAATCACACATCCGAAAGAGAGAAACCCGAACAGTTTGCTGGGCTACCAGAAGCTATCAGGGAAACAAGTGAATGACGTTATTAACAGACTCTATCAAGAGGATTGGCATCAGAAACGAGAAAAAATGCGAGCTAGTTCAAGAAATGAGAACGTGAGACGGCACAAAACTAAAAAGACGGCAGAGGAAGTAAAAGAAATTGTGCAAAGATTGACTAGGAATTCCGAAAAGAATGTCACGGATAGCAACAGAACTGGTGCGATGAAAGAAATGGGAATTTACAATACGTATGCATGCAAGGGATGGAACTAACAGAAGTATTAGCCTGGAAAATTTGGCAAAGTAATTTGAATACATGCATGCGGTTGGTCAATATCCATGCAGTATAAATAAAGGCGCATTAAAGTTAGTTAGAGACGAGCAAGGTTTCATATGGCAAGATATATTTGTTAATTGCACTGGTATACAACAAATTTTCTATGACAAGTTTTTGGCTTTCTGACCGCTATGATAGCTTTCTGACCGCTATGATAGCTTAATTTGTTGTATACGTACAGACACGTGCAATTAACAAATAAATCTTGCCATATGAAACCTGGATAGCTCTATATTAGTTATAAACTGTTCTCTCTAAAGGTCGAGCAAGGACAGGACAAAATTTGACAGTACAAAGTTTACTAGTGAACTGGCAAGTCGCGCGTACGCAAGCGTACCTACTCTTCTTCACCCCATCTAGAATATCTTGCAGATTGCTACTGCAGAATTGTTACTGCAATAATGAAGACAATGTAGCATATTTCTCATTCCTGTGCCTTTATGTTTACAAACTTCCTTAATAGGCAATCACCCAGCTTGAATTTTCAACGGTTTCACAAATTCATTAGCATTCATTATTTCAAATTTTTCAATCACAATAGATGTTTACCAAAGCTCTTAGCTCCAAGGGGCTTCGTTGCTGAAGGAAGCTGTTTTAGAGTTCCGCTGTTTACAATGTAAAGTTATAGACGTCGATAATTCATCTATAGACTGGTTGTGTACTGTATAATGCATCTAGACTGGCTGTGTGTCATGGAGTCTCGATATGGCAACAACGCGCCCGCGTATTCTTGGGGAGAGTTTGCTGGGCGAGAACAGGATGTCATGCATTTGGTCTGAGAGACTTGACAAAAGCAGGAAGGCATGAATTTAGGATCGTGCACATCAATTTGAAACTAACGTTCCCCAATAGTTATTTCCAACCCTTTATCCTAACTCTACGGCGATGTTTACGTCCTTACTTGGGCCAAAATGCAAACATGCTTATGCACGAGTGGCAGTTGTTTAGAAAGCTCTGCAGACTGCCAAGATTTTTGATATTTTTCCCATTTTACTTGGCAAGATATCTTGTTCCTGTTTTTGCGCAAACCGCATGCATGTCCCAACAAATTTTTGTAGGTCATTTAACCTGTTTTCTCCTGGAGATCAGAGCTGCAGATAAACAAATTCAAGATCACTAATAGACCTTTCCCCTTTTGAGTGAAATTTTGATCTAGACAAGTCTGGACAAAAATTTCATCACAGCTTGAAAGATCATCACAAAATTAGTAATATTCCGAAGTTTCTTTGCGAAATGTTGTAAAATGCGGATAATATATAGCCTTGCGAAGTTTTCCGTTTTTCAGTCATTTGGTATTACAAACGGGAAATTGATAATCAGATGATCAAACTGATGCAAAATGTTAGATTGTAATGTAAAATGACTGAAAAACGGCAAACTTCGCAAGATAATATTATCCGCATTTTACAACATTTCGTTGTGATGCTCTTTCAAGCTGTGATGAAATTGTTGCCCGGCCAGGCATATCTAGATCCAAATTTCACTCATAAGCTAGGGAAAGGTTGGGGAAAGGTCTGTTGAAAGTGCATGCTATACTGCACGAAAAGTACATGCTATACTGCACGGTTTCTCTTCAATACACTGTGATAACTGGAGTGAGAGGGAATCAGATAGTCTATATTTGTTGATAGTATGCGCATGGTCCAACTCAGCGGATAAACAGAATTTGTGTCGCGCATTAAGACGAATATTTGTACTTCTTATTATAGCATTAATTCCGATTGTAGTCAATCATAGCACTTAGAGTCTTAGGAAATAATTGTGCTGACTAGTTCAAAAATAAATCTGATGTTGTACAGAACTTGTGACCATGCTTCCCCAATGATTGACAATTTAGATTGGGGACACACTTGAACGGCGTAGACTGCTTAACCGGTTATGATCTACAAGATCCACCAAGGCTGCGTTGATTTAAACTTGCCCCTGAAGTGTGCCCTCTAAAAAGAAATCCCGACTTCCAAATCATCATCCCATTCAGCAAGTTTCTTGTAACAATGATATTTTCAAATAGTTTCATTTTCCCCCAGAACTTTTGTAGCCTGAAACCATCAGGGCCGCCCAGAGGTTGGCGGGGGCCCGGGGCAAATTTTTTTTAGGGGCCCCTATCTAAAAAATTTTCCCGGAAAATTTTTTTTCCGGATAACAACCTCCACCTTTTTCCGGACGAGTACATTGCAATTGCTTTCGAGGTTTTTATGCCAAAATTCGGTACTTAGCCCAAGAAAACAGATATCTTGTCCTTTGCGCGGAAATATTTAACACACAAAAAAGGCTGGGGCCCAACAAAAATTTTCCAGGGCCCCCCAGCAACTCGGGGCACGGGGCAATTTCCACCCTTTGCCCCCCCCCCTCTGGGCGGCCCTGGAAACCATCTCCCTTTTAACAAACTGCCTGCGAATATCAACGCTTTTAAAAGTGCTGCATTAACTGCATTAAGAGCATCGTGTATAATTTTGGCATGACACTTTTGTTGTACATTTTTCAGTACTTTTTAAAGTTTTTCACATATATTTCATAGTTATTTTGCTAATGTATATACATATATAAGTATCTCCTGGTATAGTGTAAGCTCAGGCATGAAAAATTGAGGTCGAAAGTTCCGAAAAACCTATTTTTTTTAAAAAAGGTTTGGAAAAAATTGTTTTGAACCTTTTATTTTCAGGAAATTGTATACAGCTTGGAAGAATATTGGCAAAGCTACCGCAAATTCCTGGCAATGCAGGCGGTAGTGCGTTGTTTAACCCTTGGCCGCCTGGTGATCTATATCAGGGCATGGAATTCGAATGAAAACTATGTGGAAGTCCAAGTCTAAAATACAAACGTGAAAATCTATCTCCTACATTGAAAGCAGTCTGGATACAACTACGTGACATACCAGAACTTTGACGTAGTTTGAGCGAAGGCTAACTTCTCGACGAAGCCGGGTCTTCGCTCGAAACGTCGAAATTCTCCTTGTATTTTTCAAGTGGTTGTATTTAACCTGGACTAGCACCGAGACGGTTCGAGCCTCGAGGTTCATATCATAAACAACTATAATTGTATTGACGCATAAACATTAAGTGATTATCTATTATGCAGATTTCCAGGAAGAACTTTGAATAACAAAGTTGTTGTTGTAACTTTCGAGTTCCTGTACAAAGCAATGAACGGCTATGTAAACATGAACATTCACAAGTATTTTATCATGGCAATTGCTAGTTAGTGTACTTCAAAATAAGGTTTCCGTTTTTATATCAATTTTAAAAATAAGTTAAGGTTAGGGTTAGTATTAGTGTTTAGTTTTGCGTTAGGATAGTTTTTTCTACGTTATATAAAAACGGAAACCTTATTTTGAAGTATACTATCTAGCAATCACCATTCTATCATGGTCCAACTCGCCAATCTCAATCTGGATACCTGGAAATTCCGTTTTGCAAAACTACCAGCTATAAATCCTCCTACTGTCACATTAATGGAACATTCTTTGTAATTTCTGCTCAATCTAGTTCTGATTCCACGTACGAGGGGTGGAGGGGCTGAAGTCCCACAATCATTATTTAGTCGGGCGGCGAGCCCCCCCCCCTCCCCCGCGACAAAAATTATGAAGCAAATTGTTTTTGTATTTGTTGAGAAATTTCCATCAACACCATGCAAATTTGTGTCCTCCAATACGCCCACTGGTATATATGCCTATATTTAAAAGAAGACAATGTATACTAACATACTAATGAATATGATTTTTGACCAAAATATGATTTGTATTTGATCAATAAACAGTGAATGCGGTTTACATAAGGATTACTAGCTAGATATATAGATATTGCTTCATTGCCGGTTAGAGTAATTTAGTTACAGTAATTAGAACATTTATAGAACAGAATTTTAATGTAATTATATAAGGAGGGGCACCTTGCAAGGGTCTAAATGTCTTGCTTGTGCCTTAATGTAATTCCTTTTTGAGTTTATCGACTTTAATTCTCACTCATTGATGAGCGGATTTCCCAACCCAGCTGATAGGGGATCCGAGGTACCTACGATTTAACGTCCTTATCCGGGAAGACGCGCCGAAAGTCTAACCATTTACTGGTGTCAATGTAAAGGTAGCTCTTTCTCCTCAATTATTTTGAGATTTTGAGTAGAGGTCCGACCAAATATTGAACCCAGCTTGAAAGTCAAACCACAAGAGCTGGTCAAGTGAAGAAGCACTTATAATGTAATAATAGTAATGTCATCATATATGTTAGTAATGTATTGTAATTTTATGATTTGGTATTCACGAGTATACTCAGTGAATTTAAATTTAATACAAAAACGATTCACAGTCAATATAGCTAGCCTTCAGATTGACAGGATATTGTGGTTTTGCATTATTGGTTAACCTGCAAACATCTTATTACGATAACATCCCAGGTTTTTGTATTAACAATCACCGCAGTTACGCGCGACCTGTTTAGACTCATTCAGTTATTATTTCCGTATGACGCCGCTAATCCAATGTTTATCCATTGTATTTCGTATCGAGTACTTTAGATATTAAAAAACACACACAACGGTGATAGAAATTGCTTGCTATACCGAAGAAAACCTACGGGGTTTGGTAGAGTCAAACTGGAAGCACTCTTCTGACATGGGACTGAGGTGAAATTATAATCACTCAGACAACCGCATATTGCCGAGGAAAGCCAACTACGATGACGCCATGTTATGTGACAGAAAGTTACGCTGAATGGGCATACGACGGCGCCAAATACGCCGCGGCTAAGCCCTCCAAGGTCGCGTCCAGAACAATTCCGTGAATATATTAATTTCTGATAATTATATGTCCACGAATGACTCGAATATCTTGCATGGAGATTGTCTGCATGTGTCAGAATACCGACGTTTCTGGCTGGGGGTGAGAACATCAAGTTTACAAAGAATGGGCAGTGTAACTGCCGTGTGGCTCGAATTTTGAAAGAAACGCGCGCGCATACATAGCGGGAATAGGGGGTTAGCAACACTAATGTTTTTACGACTGAGTTCCTTGGCTCATTCTCAGAATCACAGGGTCAGTTTTGGCTGTTTATCAGCGCAAAGCTATGTACTGTAAAAGATTTAAACCAACTTCTTCTCTACCTAGCGAAATTCTACAATCAAGTACATGCTTTGAAAAGCAACGGCAGCACATTGTAATGTCCTGCTGCTCAGTATAACCCCAGACAGATTGCATCATGGGAGGCGAGTTTAAAGCCGCAATCTCAAGTAGCACTGGTAATTTCGCTGACCTTGCATCGTCGGCAATTTATAAATTAATACTTTCTTTACTTCAAATTTGGTTTTCAGTCTAGGTAATGATCTTAAAATACACGTCTTTTGTGCTAGATTCTTAGGTAGCAGCCTTGATATGTATGTAAGTCCTTTGTTATTGTGGTTAGCCTTACATCAACATCGACTCAATACCATACAAGTCGCTTTGTGAGGCAAGCTTAAAGCATTCTTAAAGCGGAGTTTCAAGAAATGAAGGTTGGGACACAACATTTGACTTCGAAGCTTATTATGTTTGCGTTGTCTTAATAAGTAGCCATAAATAATTTCACTTAAAGACTTTAAACTGGGCTTTAAATTGTCATGCTGCCGCTATGAACAAACAATGAATTATGCAAATTACATAAACTGTATTGCACCTTAGGAAGTTTATCGGATTAATGCTTCAACTTTTATCAGCGCCATCCACCTTGTACATGGATGCACATAACATAGAAAGCGCTACCAAGTTAGCAAGCGCAGAAAAACGGTCTAAAAGTGTATTCCAAAGCTTGACTCCCAAAATTGTTTACATACCGAATTCGCGTTTATACATGTTCTAACAAAACGCGAAGCGATGGAGCGGATCGTAAAGAATCATGGGGCAGATTAGATCGAAACAGGAAGTGGTAATAAATGTCTTTGTATATCAGAGCTATGCGTGGGCTTTTTCCAACCATTCTCAGCCAAGCCTGACTCGGGAATAGAGAAGCGCATTTGCGAAAAAAACGAAATTTGCGTTAATCGTTCAACAATTATCTCAAAATTGCAGAGAAAGGGTAAAGTACACATACGATGTGATATTTTAATTAACTATTAACCTGCTTCTTCCAAGACGCATTCGTAAGGTGTTATGGCAGTTTCTAACGAACCCTACTTGTTTACATGCCTTTGCAGGAACATGGAAAGCGAGCTATTCAGCGTCGAAGACGAGCTGTTCCTATTTGAGACTTTCCTGAAATTATCAAGCCAGGATTACAACGATGAAGCAGAGGTGTTCATCTCGGAAGACGAGAGCGATGAATCGTTGGACGTGCCCTTGTTGGATTTCTTCATGTACGAAAAAGGTGAGAGAGATTTCAATTTTTGGCCAAGGGGTGGGGGGAATCCGTTATGCAATCTTAGAGTGACCTAGATTGTGAAACTAACTTCACAGTACTTAGTCGTTATCTTACGAGCTTTCGTTCCAGTGTGTGCCATATTGTAAACTAACTTTACACGCAAGTTTTGCGGACCCCGTCTTAATGCGTCGGGCTAGAGAAAGGTGGGTAACGGGAGGGGGTAATGGCGGGGGGAGGTAGAGTTGATTTCTTAAATTCATACTTTTGATAGCTACTATAAACCAGCAGTGCATTTTGCTTATGAGGAAGCAAGCATGAGTGAACTGGCACCTGCCTCACTGTTTGGGTAGCGGGGTCGGGGTAACGTGGTGCGGGCAGTAGGAGGGGGTAGACAGGTTTAAATCGGGATGCGCGCGCACAGAAAAGCGCTACGAACGGGTTCCTAAATCTTCATGGTTTTTTTTAAGGAAATTAAGGGGCAGGATACTCGCCAGTCTAAGGCGCGTTAAAGCACCCACTCAGCAATCCAGATTCGATAAAAGGGACGCGATTTTGACCTTTGTAAAGTGAATTCACTTTGATGTTAATGGAACGTTTATAATATTCATAGCACCAATTAAATGTTTTCAATTCGTTCAGTAAAATCGCCGACTGTGTGTCGCGTTTCTGTGTCGCACTCGGACCAAAATAGAGCTTGTTTGTTAGTGATGACGACAGCAAAATATGACATAGTTGCTGCGTAAATACCAAATGTTGTTTTCGCAAATATCGTTGTCAAGTTCAAGACTTTGCTTGTTGAGTTGCGCTCGGATCGTTCTAGTGCGAGAGGAAGTTGAAGAAATTGTTTTCCTGCTCCATGGGGACTTGACGAACTGCAGACATACAGCGCGAAACGTTTCAATAAACATTCCTGTCAATCATGTGACTCTGATCGTATGACTATGGTGTGATCCGACAGGCTGAAGTGGGCGGGGTAATTGCTCTACCATTCTGAGGACATAATTGACTTCAATGACCATTTTGTTCTTGGCCATATAAGTTCGAGACATTTATGACATCATTGAATTCAATCTACACATTCCTCTCCTTGTACAGTACAAATGCTACACTGGTCTGGGTTTGAAGATCTGAACAGACCTGAAACTCAAAATGTATTTAATCTTTATGTCAGGTAGTTCAGACACAAACCTGGACCGCGTTTGAACACATCATTAAAAATATCATGATTGTTCACTTGCATACGCAGTCACGAAATATATTGGTTAGGAGGTTAGGGTTAGGGATAGGATTAGGTTTCGTGATTGCGTGACATGAAAAGATAACCTGCGAAGGCCTATGGCGCGGGTGAAAGGCCCTGGGGACTAGGATGGATGTTCCCAGAGAGATTGCCAGAAATATTTAGTACATATACTGGCTATTGACTTCCTACGTCGAATGATTTTCAATCATTTTCAGGTAGTTCAGACGCAAATTACGACTGGCGCCTTATCGTAATTATATAAAAAAAATTTTTCCTTATTTATAAATATAACTTTCTTATTATTATTAAAATAGTTTATATAGCGCAAATTATCATACCATGTTTAGATGCGCTGAATCTACTCATATTTAGTTCCGTTTGTGTTTAATAGGAGATAGGAATGAGGAACCATATGTGCTGCAAATGTAGTTAAATATTGCATTACCCACTAAATCAAGGTGCTTTTTTCAGCGACCAATTATTGATTTCTTGAATTCTTACTTTTGGTACACGCTCGGAACGAGTAACCTTATCTTGTGGGTATAAAGCAGCAGTGAATTTTGCCTGTATTTAACGAGGAACCAGGCATGAGCGAGTTGGCACCTGGCTCACTGTTTGAGTACCATAATTGGTATAGTACTATAGAAACTGTTATTGTTATTCACGAATATATAACAAGCAAAGACAGTACGATAGCAGGGGGCAGATTGAAAATGTTAAACATGTAATTACTGATTGTATTTATAATATCCCCATTTGTGATGTGTAGACGTGTAAAACCATTTGTAATACACATTCAAAAACAACTTCGGTGAATAATTTTGACTGTTTAGGTCAGCAGTTTTTAACTGCTGGAGCAAAGCATCTTTCAATTCATTCATACAAGACAGCTACATAGAATCAGAAGAATATTGAACATTATTTTTAGTTCACTCTGATAACTGCAGGTTGAACACCATCTGCTGCACGATGGTGCTTAGTGAAACCTACTTACCAGATTAACCAACCTGTCTCTAGACTCCAAATATAGCAGCAATCAAATACACAATGTCGTTATTCTAAACAGACAAGAAATAAAATTAGTCTTTTGTCTTTCTTTTGAGCTACTTGGAAGCTCAAAAAATCATAAGAGGTCACTTGAACTAATTTAAATGAAAATTAAACACGTCATATACGGTAACTTCCATGAGTAAATAAAACAATGTCTAGCCTATATGTCGAACTAAACAGCTCAGATGATTTTTGTTGTGGTACTTGGTAACTCTGGTAACATACATTCTGGTCAGTGAAGGTGCTTCTGTCACCTCATTCCTCTAGTATGCAGGTGTCTTGTTATAATTTCACATGTCATTTCACTCTCCACAGAAGAGTCAGCTTCCTGTTTCACTCACGCGACTGGGTTTCTCCGCAAAGTAACACTAAACTAATATAAGCTGTGAGAGATCTCTTGGGAAAACAGTTTAGATCCGATAGGGTCATTTAGTATAAAGTTAGTTAACTTTTTCGGATGTTAGTAGAGTTTTTGACGGAGGTTATGTAAATCATTTCATTTCCTTATTCCTCAAAGCAAGGCCGCGTGCAGTCACACATGGTTATAAAAACGCAATTCCTACACACCCACGATCTTGAGTGAACTGCGAATCACTTAAAAACGAACGAGCGGATATCAGTTCGTAGGCGGAACACAGCTTCCATTTTCCATTAAATCTTTTCTTCCGTATCATGTGTTGTTTAGTCTTTGAGGATAGCATGGTAAAAAATTGAGTGCATATATAGTTAATTTGAGTGGAAACTTAGTCCTTACTGAAATCCTAGACCTCAAAAATTAATTATGGACACTTTGAAAAGCACTTTGGTTCATTTTTTATCATCGTGTCAACATAGTATAGCAAATATAGTACGCCTAGACAACTAGTGAATACAGATCCTAACTTTACCCTAACTGTTCTAAACTGTTCTTCCTATATTGATCTATTAAAATCTGTGCTAAGAGAAAAACAAAATGTAATTATATTATTTATACTAGATAGCTTTTTAGGTGTCTGTTCACTCAAAGGTCCGGCAAAGACCTAGGTCATTATTAACTGAGATAAATTATCTTCTTTTCTAGAGCCTGAACAATGTCCAAGCCCAGTGGACACTATACCCTCTCCCACCCCCCCACAACAATTCTTCCCCCAACACTACCCGAGAAGCCCCTCCCCTTGTGAATCACCCACCTCCCTCTTCCCTCCGATCCACTTAGAGAATATCCTTCCCCCCTGTACCCCTACCCCTTCGGTTATCTCCACTCCACCGTCCACCCCACTCCCACAACAAAGCCCAAGCTTTCCACCCCCGGAGTACAAAATAGAGCCCATCCCAGAACCCACCTACACCCCTCCTACTGCCGATGCTGAATCGGCAGGGGTACACTTCATTGATCTAAAAGACTTGTACGAGAAGGCACAAGTGAGGCGGAAAGGCACGTCAGAACAACGGCTGGTCGACTGTCGCATACACATGGTCGCAAACTTTCTAACAGTTCCGTGCAACGTCCAAGTCTGGGTTCAAAGATTTGCCGAGATCAAGGGCTTTCAGAATACAGTAGAGCTGCCTGTCACGATTGAGAAGATTTTGCCAAACATGGTAAATAATTAAACTACAGCACTAACTTATACTAGTCCAGGATGGTTCTATTAACTATAAACTGTTCCCCCTAGAAGTCCAATAAGGGCCACTACCACCGGAGGAAACGTAATTAACTAAAGTAACCTTATTTATTTATACTGGATGGCTCTATCAGTTCTAAACTGTTCTCCCTAGAGCTCCAGTAAGGATAATCTCTTATTGATCCAGTAACCTAGTGTTACTACAGTAGGAAACCTAAATTAAATTAACTTTATTTATTTATACTGGATAGCTCTATCAGTTTTAATTAAACTGTTCTTCCTAGAGGTCCAGTAAGGATCATCTCTTATTGATCCAGTAACCTAAACTAACTTTAGTTATACTGGATAGTTCTATCAGTCCTAAAGTCCTAAGAATCATCTCTTACTGATCCAGTGTTACTACAGGAGGAAACCTAAATTAAACTAACTTCAAACACTCATTAATAATTCATGTCCTGATTTGCATAAACTTCAACTTTGATTTTCTCGGCTTAGACAATGTTTATTCTTAAAATTACTTACTCATAAGTACGTTAAAACATTCGCATCCGATCTTTATCTGATATACAACCTCTCGCCTTCGGCTCGAGTTTGTTTATCAGATAAAGATCGTGTTTTTTTCTGTGTTGGTATTATGTACTCAGGTGAATATGATGCTTGCCCGGTGTGGATATACACTCAGAGTAACATCACAAGCAAGATAAAGATCGGTTGCTCATGTTTTAACTGGTACTTATTTATACTGGATAGCTCCATCAACTTCATTTATTAAACTTGCATTTGTCTTTTTTCTTCTTATAGCAATATTTTTCAGTAAATTTGGACGCAGTCTACATGACGTCACTGGGCAACAAGTTCTACCAGCTTAGCACGACAGATAGATTTCGAAAAAACCGTTTTGTAATCCACGTGAACTTGATGTTTGAAGACAACAGCATCGCCCAGTTTAAAAGTGAACCATTTTTGATCAGAAGTAGAAAACTGTCGCCAAATCCTCGCAAGCCTCGCTCATATAGCGACTAATGAAGACTGTATCAATTGGAAAGAAAGGGTGTAAAAACGGCAACGCGAAAGCACAGAGTTTGCGGCGAAAAGACTGCGTATTTCACCATTAAACCTTGAAGTTGCAACCAAATATTTTACACAGTAACTTAAGATTAGCTAGGATTATGGGGTGCATTGTTTTGTAGAAGTGAGATGTCGGGATCCTGAGGAAGATTGAAGAACATCTTCAATTTTTCCACGCATACGTTATGGAAGAATCGTTAGGAATCGTATATCATACTTCCTTATGTCATTTGAAATTTGAAGTGGTATTCAATGTTCAAATTTGGTGTAATGTACGTCAAATTTTCCATTGTTTTACGCTCTGTTGAGAAACATTTGAAATAGGCAAATTTAAGGTCCGAGGAACATTAAACACTTTTGCCAGGCCTGTCATCCAATACACTGTGTATGTACATGTTCATTTGATTGTGCCTGCAAACAACCTGTTAATCTTATTGTTCCTATCTACCTGTCCGTTTCTTTAATTATTAATGAAGTTAGGACGATTTGTGGTCAAAACAAAATCTATATCAAATATTCTACAAAGATTTTTAAAAAAAGTTACTTTGGATTTTCTAAACTCTATACCTCAAAGGTTTGTGGCAGCAACTAATATTATTTTACGTTAGAAAGTGTAAAGATTTGATATAAACCAGCTACTTGTACATATTAGTTAGAATTATATGATAATATTTGTGTTATACTTGTAATATAGATAGTGATAGAGTTTTAAAATATCTACTCTTGGAAGAATAATCTTGTGTGGAATTTCAAAAGCTAGTTTGGCAAATGATATCTATGGCATGATTCCTGTAGTTCACAACAGATAGGAGTCGTCTGCAGTTCAATTTATGGACTATGTTATAGTTTCATTTTCATTCATGCATGAAAATCCCATTACATATTGCCCGAGGAAATCGTTGATACATACAAAGGTTTTAATTCGTATGAAGATTCACATATTACATATCACAGCCTCTTAATAGTTCTATCAGTTGTAAACTGTTCTTCGTGGAGGTCCAGTAAGGAAGAGTCATTCTTCATTGGCCCAGTGTTACAGTACAGGAGGAAATCGGAGTATATATATTGCGATAACTTCCGAGCTCATCTTTTACATATCGTAGTCACGCGTGATCCTGCTTAGATTCACACAGTTGTCATTTTTGTATTGACACCTTCATGCAATGTTTGTTCATTGTATTTCATATTGAGTACTTTAGATATTAAAAAAAAACACATTACTGTACTGATGGAAATTGCTGAATATACCAGAGAAAACCTGTGGGGTTTGATAGAGTCAAACTGGAAGCACTCTTCTCACATGAGACTGAGGTGAAATTATAATGAGACAACTGCATATTGCAGGAATCAAACCTCTGTCACAGAGATGACAGAAATATGCACTGACCACTGTGATTTTTTTTCAACATTCAGGAAAGACCCAAAAGAACAATGAGAAAGAAATACTAATATCAAAAACCCAACAAAATCATGTTTCCAATCTTACATAATGGAACCCTGAACAAATACCTAAACACGACCACACCACGACCGGGACATTTAACCCTTACCGGGTTTCCGAACCCTCGGAACAATCATACCGGAACATTGTCTTCGTCGTTGGGTACAAGACTCCGGGAGAGAAATGTCCGGTTACATGATGAAAATGTATCGCTGTATATGTTTATTGGACTGTTTGTCGCGTTTGTACTCATTAGTACTTTTGTGATTTCCATTGAATTGTACAAAAGCGGACGATGTAAATGGCAGACGAGGGCGATAAAGAAATTCGACTACACATACGGATTATAACGTGTTTTAAATTCCTGAAGAAATTATTCAAAGATATTTTGTTACGAAAACATCACTTTCTAGCTGACAAGCCCGGAAAATCATTGCTTCCCTACTGAATATTAAATAATAGTTCCTTACCAAATAGTAAACAAAAATGGCATGAGAGATTGTGTGGCTTGTTTTCTTAAATCTGAAAGTCTAATTTCGTTAAAGCTTCAAATAAAGCCATAAACTTATTGGCAGCTGTAGATTCTTTGACTTTAATTATATATAAAGTTACTTTCCTCTCACGTTTCAATTGTGCAGATCAAACCTAACTGAAAAGGTTTACTATGTAGTCACCTCTCCATTGAATTATAAATTGTCGAAATCATGATTTGATCACCATTGTAAGGTGATTTATTAGACTGACCTTTAAATGTTTCTCCAAGTTTTTTTCCCGGGGGTTGCATGCCCCCAGATCCCCTAGAATTGTGAGTTCACAAAATATCGGGTAAAGACCTATCTAAAATGATCATGTTTTGTGATTGGCTTTCAGAAACAAACAGTCGGAAACAAAAATGATCATTGTTCGTGACTCGTTCTTTAGAAAGACGATTTCTATAGTTTTATTGTCTTTCATTGTTATAATCAACCAACCACGAGCCTGGATATAGTATAGGTAGATGATGACCCAAAATATTATGCCCCCCCCCCGTCAAGGGTGGCACCCTTGCATGCTATAGTGCACTTTCACCCAGTCGGGTTAAATCCTTGGTCGGACCTCAACTCAAGGTCTTAAAATAATTGATGAGAAAGAACTACCTTACATTAAATTCAGTAAATGGTTAGACTTTCGCGTCTTCACTGATAAGGACGTTAAATCGTAGGTACCTCGGATCTCCTATCAATTGGGCAATATAGCTTGTTTCGAAATCCGCTCACCAACGAGAAACTCAACAAAGCCACACAAGCGCTTCCTACAGACAGCAGGTTCGTCTGCGAGAAGGTTCCGTAGCTTAATTTGGCACCATTTCTAAGTCAATGTTTATCTTAGCTAAACATCCCTGTCTATATATAGCTTCGCGCAGTCTTGCTTTTTACATACGCCATATGCCATACATCACGTAACCTGCGTGCAGGTTTTGCTCAGCGATACGTCAAACTACTGCATTGCTTCACAGGTGCTTCTCTTAGGAAGCGATAAAGCAAGACTAGAAATATTAATATTATTCAAAACATGGCCGCCAATGTTTGGCAAAGAACGCTATGTTAATCCTTTTAAACTGACGACTTAATCTCGGCCAGTCTATAGAGTCATCCTAACAAAGACTTGCCCTTATAAATCGGCATTTTAATTAAAATTTAAAGCTTTCGGCTTCTCGTCACACCGAAAAGGGTAATTTCATACAATATATTATATTATACGAGCAAAAAAATTTGACTTCTCAATAGACTTCTCAATTCCATATTAACTTCTTCCAAATTGAAAAATTCGCTGCATACAATGAAAATAACTAACGTTATAATAATTAGCGCACTTATATGGCGGTTAGTCGAAGCAAAGCTAGTTTTGTCCAAAATGATACTTAATTCGTTTCTTCTATTAGAAAGCTAGCTTCTGTTACTAAATTATGTCCGAATTAATACTGAGTACTATTAAATTGTGCTTCAATTTTTGTACAATATGGTGCTTAATGTGCCAATTTCGCGCAATTAAAGTTGTTATCCTCCACAAAATGAACTTGTTAATGAGGTAAATTTTACTAATTATTTGAATAAGTCGGTAACTATATCATTATTAGTATTTTTACACAAGTGAATATAAGAAATCTGCCGTGGTGATTGGTAAAATTTGACGTGATATTTCCTTATATTCACCCACAGGTGAACAGGACTGTAAAAACTACTTTACAAAATGGCGACTAGCCGTTTTGCGGAAATCACGGATAAAGAAAGAAGCGAAATTAAAATAAATTCAGTCCCGAAAAAAACACAAAAGACTTGTGTAAAAATACTAAAACAATTATTCACCTCAGGCTTGGTGATTATCAGGGAATATTCACCTCGACTTCGTCTCGGTGAATATTCCCCGATAATAACCTCGCCAGCCCTTCGGAGAATAATTGTTAATTATCACCATATCACACATAATGAGAAGAATTGATATCATTTTCTCACTCTGATAACTGCAGGTTGATCACCATCTGCTGCGCGATAGTGCTTATAGTAAAACCCACCTATATATTGACTTATTAGGAGCTGAAGGCTATAAGCTTTAAAAGTGCCTGCAAACACTCCACGCCCGCAAGGTATCTGAAGCCCGCGCTCTCAGCTGTACCTAATTCTGCGCTGTAGTTTATAGCATATTTAAACAGACACATGCTTGTATACAGTTTAAATGTTTCACTTTGCTGATCTGCAGGGAGTCAAGCATGTTAAGTAAGTTGCCGCTTTTTGTTATATACGGTTAGAAAACACACAAAACAGCTTGAATCTGGCGTGTCACCGCAAGGCACGTGCGGTGTATTGTCCCCTAACGTTTCCTTGTACTTCGATCAATGTTGGCAATGAAGAATGATTATTCGTAATAACATAAAAACTGCGTGAAAAATTAACACGAGCGCCAAAATTACTGCAACTAATTGAGACAAGTTCGCGCCTCATTTCGGTATATGTGAGACGAGTGCTTCCAGTGGGAACCTACTAAATAGCACAGGCTTTCTCCATGATGAGGTATTTCATCCCTGCCTTACACTAGACAGTTAATAGATGTTCCTTACTGGATCTCTAGAGAACAGTTTAGACCTGGTACCGAGTTAGCTCGCTTGCTTGGTCGGACCTCTACTCAAGCTCTTAAAATAATTGAGGAGAAAGTGCTACGTTACATTGACATCAGTAAATGGTTAGACTTTCGCGTCTTCCCGGATAAGGACGTTAAAATCGTAGGCACCTCGGATCCCCCATCAATTGGAAATCCGCTCACCAATGAGTACGTCGGAGAAACTCAATAATTAGAGGAAAGAATGGAAGTTTCAGAAGAGATGTTCCACTACGGCATACAATCTTAATTCGTCTATCAGTGATTGAAATAATTTTTTGTTGTTTTTAATATACTTAGAGAAGAAACATATTTAAACACTATTAGTGCATTCAAATTTGAACAACAATAAGTATCAACCCTTTCTGGTTGATAAATATTCTTATAAACTTCGTTCGTTACAGTGCTGTAGGAATCACTTGGCTGCGCAGATCTGGATTTAGAGAGAATAAACAAGTCTGTTCCAAATCTCAAATATCTGCATCTTATCTTTCGCCTGTGGTTTTGTGTATTTTACACAAGAGAAAAAATCCTTATCACGCCCCTCGTGAATCGCGCGACAAAAAAATCACCTGGCACAAATTAGTACCCTCGTCAGAAGTCTAAACTCTGTAGCTCAACAATGTAATCTTGTCTACATTTCATTAATTAGAGGATTTCTAACTCCTACATTTCGTTAATTAGAAGGTTCCTAATTGATTTCCGGGTTTACTTAGCTCTCAAACTATGTTCTCAAACACAAATTATGTACATCTATGTACTTGACAAGTGATATGAAAATGTTGCTTATAATATTTGCATTGTACTTTAGAAAAAAATATTCAATTTTAAATATAACTGACTTTTAGCTTTATAAGGAATTGTTTGAAGAGTACAAAAAGTTGAAAATCATGACCCCTGCAGTAATTATGTTTTCAACTCTTCACAATAGAGTTCAACTCTTCCATTAACAACAGAGAAAGACAATAAAAATATTTCACACGAGCATTGTAATTATTCAGTTTAAAAGAAAATGTACTTAGTTGTTGTCATTTGCACATAGATTGAATATAAGGATGCTTTTTAACTCTTACACAACAATGAAGATGAAATGAAACTTTACAAAATGATTATTTAACCATCTAGGAAAACAGTTTCTATTTTGAACCGCATGGAATAACTTTTCTACAATCCAAGAATTTACATTTCTTCTTCATTGATTTAATATTTCGATTCAAAGTTTCTAGATTATTTTATTTCACATATTCCAACACTCTAATGCGAATTCTTTGGGCTTTTATAAGCGGAATTTGATTGTTCACACGTCTAGCGAGTTTTTGTCTTGTTCGTTGGCACGTTTTGTGGTTTTTGTTAAGTAGCGCGACACACGTTTGTCTATTGTGCACACGCCTGGTTCCTATGGCGTTCGGCAGTAACTTGTAGTAGTGCATATTGCCAAACAGGGAAGAGTTTTGTATCAAGTTGCAACAAACTTTGATTTAACAATAGTTAGCGTATATGTGTTCAATCTTTGGGACTGTGATTTTAGTCCTTGAACTGGAATTAGTTTACACACGTAAAAACGCACAAGTTGTATAAAAAACCTGCAGCAGACTTGTAGTAATGCTGTTCCAGCAACTTGTCAACAGGATGTGTTATCGCACTGCTTGTTCCCAGCTTGTCAGCAAGTTGTTAACGGCCTGTTGACAACTTACTGCAAGGTTGTTGAGCTCAACAGACTTGTTACAAGTTGTTCGAACAACTTGTTATCGTCCTACAATACAACAATTTGTGAACAAGTTGCGAGTGACGACCTTGTAGCAACTCTTGTTGACATATATAACAGCGTTGTTACAACACTTATTGACAAGCTTGCTACAAAGCCTGTTGCGAATACATCTTGTTGACAAGTTGTGAGATTTTTATGTGTTTCACCTTTGGAACTGTGACTTTCTTCCTTGGAATGGAAATAGTTTAGTTTAGGTTTCCTCCTGAGGTAACACTGTGACAATATAAGGATGGGATAACCCTTACTGGACCTCTGGAGGAAGAACAGATTAGAACTGATAGAACCATCGATGCCCTTAGAATCACAACCCTCCCCCGGCCCTCTAGGGAGTGAACCAGTAGATGCGTCCTCTCTAATCCAATATCCACACTCTTGTCATCTCTGCCTGACGCGAAGATGAAATCAATTTAGTTTGCGGATCCTAACAGTTTAGGTGACGCAGTCTTGCGCTCATCAAGTGGCAGAATTGATCGCACAATTGATGGCAAAATGAGTATTTGATTAGGTTTTCCTGCACGTAGATAATGAGGAGTAATATAATTTATAAATATTATCTAGTGAAGGAAATTGATGCAGGTGCAAACGTTCTCTAACTTTAGTGCATTTCAAAATCCCGGCATGCATGCAGAAACACAAACAGTGAATCTAACTTTATTTATACTGGATAACTGTATCAGTTCCAAACTGTTCTTCCTAGAGCTCCAGTAAGAATCATCTCTTATTGATCCAGTGTTACTACAGGAGGAGACCTAAACTAAACTAACTTTATTTATACTGGATAGTTCTATCAGCTCTAAACTGTTCTTCCTAGAGGTCCAGTAAGGATCATCTCTTATTGATCCAGTGTTACTACAGGAGGAAACCTAAACTAAACTGACTTTATTTATACTGGATAGCTCTATCAATTCTAAACTCTCCTTCCTAGAGGTCCAGAAAGGATGACCTGTTATTGGTCCAGTATTACTACAGGAGGAAACCTAAACTAAACTAACATTATTTCTCTGGATAGCTCTATCAGTTCGGAACTATTCTCCCTAGAGGTCCAATAAGGATCATCTCTTATTGGTTCAGTGTGATTAGAGGAGGAATCCTAAACTAAACCAAATTTATTTATACTTGATAGCTCTATCATTTCTTTTTCAGAACTAACCTCAGAGATATGAAAAACTAGTTTAATATTATAGTCATGACACGACAGAAAACAATGAAAATAGAATTGTTGGTTCTGAAATGAAACGCTTCCTCCAAGACAAGCGTTAGGTTGTCGCCAAAACATTTCGTGCATTTAAATTGAAGACTCGCTAACAACCCCCGTTGACTCGACACCTCATTGGGTAGAACGACGGTCTGGAAACCCGAAGTAGCGTGCTTGAATCTTGCACGAGAAAACGAGATCCTTGTTCTCTGCAGTGTGAGAATAATATGAAACTAGTTTTTGTATCATTTCTCCCTAGAGATCCACGAGGGAACGGAAATACCCGGGGAAGACCTCCAGTGTTTGCCTCTCTGTCAAATTCCACATACAACTGAGGTGAAGTTATAAACAGACAACAGCATATTGCAGGAATTGAACCCAGTCCCAGAGATAAAAGACATATGCACCAACCACTGTGACATTAACATCTCATGCATGTGATACATTTCAAACTGAGATGCCATTATAGGCTGTACATGGATTTTGAATGGTCTGTGCTTCTTCCTCGGTTGGTAATGATGCAGTTACCTGAAAAATACAAGGAGAATTTCGACGTTTCGAGCGAAGGCCCTACGTCGGAAAGTTAGTGCGAAAGGCCATCAAAGAAGGATGCTCAAAACATCGAATTTCTCCTTGTATTTTTCATGTACTTTCATCTCTCTTCCAACCGAAGTTTTGTACATAAATTTTTCTCTAGAAAACATTGTAAAATTGATATATTCCAGTGATGAGGAAAGTAACATACTATATATATATACTACATACATGTCTAAGATCAACAAACTACAACATTCGAGAAACGTTCAATCTTCCAACAGAGAGAAAATCATCTTCATAAATTACTTTGCATTTCCTAATTCATTTAGAGACTTCGTATTCTATTACACAAAATCAACTACGAAAGATCAGTTCTTATATGCTCGTTATGGGAATGTTTTTAAAATCTATTCCATCTTATGATCGAATTTATTAACCACAGTTCATTCAATCAGCGAGAAAATTATATCAGCCTATATATATTAAGCAGCATTTCTGTTAGCTAACGCATTTTCACATTTGCGAGTGAGAAGTCAAGGATTTGGAAATGTGAAAATTGCGCTGTTTTTCAACGGTAAAGATCAGACTCTAGTAAGTTAATATATATATATATATATAGTCTGAGGTTGACAGTGAAATTAATATAATGCATCTTGCATGAATGACTTATGTTAAAGGCCATCTTCAATTCAAAGCACTATAACGTGAGAGGTCAAATTTTGTTTGTTTAAACTTATCCTTACTGGACCTCTAGGAAGAACAGTTTAGAACTGATAGAACTATCCAGTGTAAATAAAGTTAGTTTAGTTTAGGTTTTCTCCTGTAGTAACACTGGATCAATGAGAGACGATTCTTATACTGGACCTCTATAGGACTAGGGAGAACAGTTTAGAACTAATAGAACTATCCAGTATAAATAAAGTTAGTTTAGTTTAGCTTTCCTCCTGTAGTAACACTGGATCAATGAGAGATGATCTTTACTGGACCTCTAGGGAGAACAGTTTAGAACTGGTAGGGTTATCCAGTATAAATAAAGTTAGTTTAGTTTAGGTTTCCTCCTGTAGTAACACTGAACTGTAAGAGATGATCCTTACTGAACCTCTAGGAAGAACGGTATAGAACTGATAGAGCTATCCTGTTTGCGATTTCATGTACAGAATTGCACTACGTTCACATCTTTAAAACATATTAATATCTTAGCCGAATAATAGAACAACACCTTGCACAAGTACCAGTGCAACTTGCAAAGTAATACTGACATTTTGCAGTCGTAAAGACGAGCATATATTTATAGTTGAAATACAAATTCTCGCCTCCCATTCATGCAGACTGCGTACGAACAGAGCGAATTAACTTTGTGTACTTTGTGACGAGCAGGAATAATAGCGAGCAAAAGAAAACTTAATTCTTGTTAATTTCTGTTCCTGTGAATGGGAAACGGTACACGAGCTTGTCAAGGAAACGGTAATTATCTTGAAGCCTTGTTTACAGTCGCGAAGAATTGAAGAAATTTCAATTAATGTAAACTGAAAAGGCTAGCAAACTCAGAGGAAAATAATCTCATGAGATTCGCCGAGCTGCGTATACTTGTCAATCAATTAATTAGACAATTAGCTAGCCCATTAAATACGTTTTTAAGCACTGCGCGCACTTGTGATAAAGATTTAATAATTTTATCGCGTTTCATCGCAAAACAGGAAACAACGAGTTTATATACAAAACTGTGAAGCGTTTTAGAGCCGATGTTATCCGTAAACTAACATCTCGAATGCAAAGTCAACAATATAATGGGCTAATGGCTTGTTGAACACTCGCAAATTTTGATAAACAGCAATTAATGTCAGGTGTTATTGGCTAGCGTCTCATTTAGAGGACTAATCTCAATGTATTACGAGTTTGTTTTGAGTTCGCTGTCACAAAAAGGACAGCAAATACGACCTTGCGTAGGACATGCAAGCAAAGTCCACATTTTTGTGAAACCAATTGTATTTTCTGTAAATAAGCTGTCATATGAGTTAAATTTTAATAATTTCCAAAACGAAACATTTTAAGTGTCCATGTTTTCTCGCTAGAAATTATCTTCCGAATGCGTGGTGAAAATTTAAACAGTCTCTAAAAGCACTCCTTGAGAATACAAGACATTTCCTAAGTGCGCACAGCGTGAAGTCTTAATAGCAACTTTTTATGAATACTAATTTTGAGTTAACACGCTTTGGTATTGTACTTGTAAGTGTCCCCAACTCATTTCCTCAAATTAATCTATGGAAAACAGTGCTTAATCGCGGGGCAAACATACAAGAGTTATCGCTCTCTCAGAAAACCCCCCAAAATACTAATTGCTGTTTTGCCCTTTGAAGAAGCGTCGTGACAAAGCGTGTTGAGGTAAAAAACTTCTCCGCGCACTTTTTAATTAAATCTTGCCTTAATTAAAATCTACGCGCGCGGTGTTTGTTGTTTGCCCCGTTCTCCCGCATAGTGGCTATGTATTGACGGGCATTATTTCCTAGCCTCTTGTATTCTATATTGCCCCTGCGTGTCTAGGACGGTCTATTTATATTTGCATTTAAGCTGTATATAAACAATGCTACGGCGATCATGCGACTCATTGTCCGCAGAAGACGGTGAAGTCGAACACGACACAAACTTTACAACATTCTCAAGCCAAATGCGCGAGCTACACACGCCTGTCGAAGACTTGGATAGAGAGAGAAACTATTTCACAATGATTGAAGGTGAGTCTTATAACATGTCATAATACCCTGTCGCAGTCATGCCGCGGGTACTAAGAATGATTATTGAATATACGCCGGGTTTCTAAGTACTGCGAAATTGGGTTCGAAAAATTTCAGGAAGTTCGCCACATCATATTTTAACATACCAAACAAACCAAATAATCAATGTTCATTACTCCTGACCGAAGTTACCAAGTATTTCAAAATAGTTTGACCCAATAACCTAGGTGGCACTATTTCATTATTAACTGCTAACCCATACACAAGCTATGTGAGAATAGTACATTTTTCTGAGGCGAAATTAATCAATCAAATTTACAATGCTTCGTAGCTTTAGTTAGATTAAGTAGGCTTTTTATTAATTCATCGATATTTTTCGGCAAACTATAAGCAGCTGGCGAGGGAAGAAAGTCTCTATTCAATAGTGGCATTCGGTATGCCTTGGAACATGGCCTTCAAATGTACCGCGCGGTTCGTTTCATGTGGTGCACGAAAGCGATTTAATATCTTTCTCTCGCTCTTATTGGTCAGTTCTCAAGCTCCAAATAAAACGTTATGTTGATTAAAGCCCGTTTTGGTCTCCATATTGTTTCAGAATGTTTACATTTGATCAACAACAGTAGGCGAATTTCGAAGGCAATTTTTGAAGAGGAACTTCAAACAAAGAGCCAGGGTTTATGCTTGGTCGTACTATGGAGGCACTTGTATTTTCGATCGCTTGCGGACCCGTGTATCGTTACGTAATGTCAGCGATACTGTACGAGTTGCAAGTGATAATTTTATATTGCTATGTCTGAAAAATAGAGAATAAATCCGTAAACCACTTGAGTTTGTGAGAATACGGCCTGCATGTACGTCTATACATTGTCTCAGACTGATTTCAGATCCAGCTACGTGGTAATGATGAATATTGTGAATTTAATGTAATAATGTGCAGTGCATGAGATGACGTTCGCACAGTTTGTTTCGAATATCATTACACAAGCTGGAAATGAAATCAGTCGGACAAAATCGCACTTCCGCAAAAGTAGCTTTATACATGGAGTATTTGTACATAAAGCATTCCAGTATCATTCACAAAGTCTCCTGACCAAGAAATTATCCTCAAAATGCCAGCGAAGTTCTTTAAGAATTCTGCCAGCTCAAACAAGCAAACTAGAGATATATACCCCCTAGACTGCCAGAGCTCTTCAAAGAGGGCACTTCTCTGCTAAACATTCACCAATTAAAGCCTCCACAGTCAATACTAAAATCACACAGTGAGTCAGAAAATTATATTGTCATGGACTCATGGTCATGTATGATTCTCTAAGAGGACACTACTCATTCGTGGGGGAAATTATATGGTTTGTCAAAGTTAGATATTAAATTCCCTAGTCGTAATACCCATCGACGATTGAACAATATATAAAAAATGTACATTACTTTCTCGGGGCAATTCCAATGTCCTTCCCTGTCCTAAGTGATAATAAATTTAGTAAAAAATAAAGTACACGGATTCACATTGTAACTTCTTAAATTTGCCAGACCCAATGAAACTATAACTGCTCAGTATAATACCACTTCACTTTCACAACTCGTGATTACAAAATGTACCGACTGGCCATTGCTATATAGTTTTCAATGCTACAATGGAGTGCTTTTGAATCCCAACACGAACATAACAGCTCTATGGTTTGTGGTAATGCTTTAATAAACCAAATTTTCTCCGTGATTGCGTAACAAAGAGACGTGGAACGAAATGAAAAGAGTGCAATTAGCTTATAGCGCAGAATACAATTGCATTGGGTTAGCTGTTAATGCACTGTCTTCAGTTTGAGGTCTCTATATAGACAGTACTCAACAAGGATTCGGTTTGACGGATGACACTGCACACATAAAATTCTCTTTGTCGAAGTAAAGAAAGAGTTTGATAAGTTTGTGGTTTTGAAAGACAAGAATTCGGATTGATAGGAATACAAGCACACCTGACATATACAAGTAGCTATAGCCTAGTTGCATTTTTCAGTTATAGTTGTATTCCAAGCTATCAATCCGAAGGCGAAACTTTCTTGTTATTAACTACACTGGCGTTTTGAAACACGGACCGTTTTGAAAGACATGTACTTTCAACAGTTCCAAACGCACTGTATAAATATAAAACCATCTTCTTGAGAAGTGCAGTGCATATAGAACAAACTCAAAATGTTTCTATCTAAATTTAACAAGCTATTACAGAACAACAACTGAGGGGCACGTGTGTCAGGCTTAGACTCCGTCTAATGCTTTGTGTATTGTACGCTGCAGATGTCCAAGACAACGTCTTAAACAATTCACTGCTTAAAGTTACTGATTACCTAATAAAATACACTGCACCTCCTATGCGAAACAAGATATACGCACGAATAGCAAGACACAATGAGGCGTTTTGAAAACTTTTTTTATCAAAGCGCACAAAATTCTAAAACTTCATATAATAGCGAAAATGATGCTCGGCTGTTTTGAAATTTTGAAAAAGAAAATTCAAAGCTCGGTCAATTTGTTTAAAGGTGTTTTGTTTGGAGAAAGGTGCGAGTCGAACGTGTCAACTTACTCCTATATGAGAAATTGATATAGCATAGTTAATTTTTTACACAATAGAGTTTTTAATAAAATATGCTTTCCGATGATACTTTAAGCTTGCAGTTTTTCCCTATAAACTATCTCAACGTAAAATGTCCTAGTGTGGGCAATAGTTGATATGTATTAATACAAAATAGAGGGAAAATATCCCAACCAGAAAACTCAACCTGTTTTCAACATAAAAAAAAGTCATCAAAAGTATTAGGAATATATATTGTTCTGCTGTGTGTATGTGGGAATTGCCCCCTACAAATTATGTACAAGCAGGCAAAATTAATAAATTGTGAACTATATTTTAGACCACCAGGTTAAATTTCTAAACAATTCTACTACTTCTGAATTCATGAAACATTATACTACAGTAAGTCTCAGAGGTCTGCAAAAACATGTGATGATGCAACGTCCATTTTTTGTCCGATTTGCGCAAAATATATGCCAGACAATTCAGCAGGAAGAACCTCGACTCTGCTGTAGAAAGCGCCGACTGGGGACCTTGGGTTTTGTAATATTTAAACTCCTAAATTGCCTCACAGCTAAAAGTCTGCAGCAACCGTAGTCATAAGGATATAGTTCTAATTAGTAATTAATATTTTATTAATCGAAATAATGACTGCGATCGCTTGCTGTGCCCTGCCAAAGCAATTTTGCAAAACATTCGAAAAGTCGCCCAAACAAACCATCAATGTTTTTGCAATTAGGCCATTGATACGATATTGCTGCAACGAAGTACACACCAAACAGAACTTACGAACAAATCAATTTGCGCAAGATGAACTGTGCATGTACACAATTGCGCGCACTTACTATATATACTGAAATCTTACAATGCTGTTTATGTCTTAAAATGAATATCAATGCAAAATTAGGAGAATAATTTATAGAGTGCTTAGCTACCAGCAAAAGTAAGGAAAAAATGCACAACATGCTGCCAGCTTAATAAAAGAAATGAAAGATACATTGGGCTTTTTTTTTAAATAATATTATGCAAAAAAAAATTGTTAAATAGAATATACGCACGCCTCACAAAAGACGATCACAAGCAAAAACAAAAAGTTCTATAATATTGTTAAAAACATTAAATCCGCTACGCGAATTTTCTTTGCGAGATTGTTTGGTTTAAAGGTATGCTAGTCTAAACAGTGTCATGTATAAGTTAAGGAAGCCAGCAGGTATAAAATAACAAACGAAATTTGCACTTAAATTGTTTGTTTTCTGCTGTGTGCTCGTGAGTATGCTATAATATGGGGACACATCTCATGCGCAAATGAGAGACGAGAGAGACATTAATAGCAAATCATTTATAGCGTTGAACAGCGTCAATTATCACTATTAAATATTAATCCGACGTGATTTGCTTTCATTCGCTTGACTCGCTTGCGCCGACAACACCTGAAGAACTTTTATTAGAAGCGAGAGCTCGGCGCGCTGTGATTGGCTGCGTGCGTCGTGAGTTATTAATTCACATATAATAACTTGCCTACAAAGAGACACCGAAAATTTTAGCCGGATCAGAAGATTAAGCTATGGACTCGGGAACTACGCTCATGTCTCGAGAAGACTTAGATGGAAATGCTATAAACACTGAACATTCTCTGTTAGATCTCGTTCCTAGTTTAGAGCACAGCATAACAGGTCTTATAACAGATCATGGTTAGTATGTATTTATATATAGTACCCTTCCATTCAAGTTAGTGCACCGCGCTTCGCTTAAACAAATGCTCATTTTCTTGATAACTCCGAGTAATTTTCCCCATTAGTGTCGAGTGTTGAGGAATCAGTATTCTAATGATATTGTGACACTACTTGCTGTGTTAATTTAATACCTTTACTCGTCGTTAAGATAATGGGAAATCTCCTGATGGAAAGGTATCGCCGACAGAGATCAAGAGAGGCAATGGTGTGGACACAGTTGTAGTCGACGAAGACGACGTGAAGTCTAACGAGTCACTACTCTCAAAACAGAAACGACATCGGACGCGGTTCACTCCAACACAACTTAATGAACTAGAGAGATGCTTCTCACGGACGCATTATCCCGATGTATTTATGAGAGAAGACCTCGCGGCCCGAATTGGTTTGACAGAATCAAGAGTCCAGGTTAGACAACTGTAAACATTTTATGTATCGCTAGCATACCGCGGTATCTGATCATGAAAAGCTGGCTGGCTAAGTACCTATTCTAAGTATCTCTGTTGCAATAACGAAGATGGGTCTATACAAGTTTTATTATAGCCTAGTGAAACAGTACATATGTCCCATTCCTACTGTTATTCAACCTGTAGAGTGACTGTCCCTTTTTCAAATGTTTGTCTATCTTCTTCTAAGCCTAATTCCTCTATTTATTTACCCATGTATGTACTATTTTTAGTTTAAAAACTATGCTTTTCAAGATTTTCTCTCAAATGGCAGTCGAACGATATCACGCTAGCCTATATAGGAATTATCCCAATATATAAAATTGGAAAGAGCTATCCCACTGCCCCCATTCACCAAGGAATTCTATTTGCAGCGAGAACTAAATTAAAACTACAAAATGTATGCCCTAGTATTTTTGCTTGCTTTCAAGAGACAAAGTTAGGAGTGTTTTATCGTAAAATTACAATATCCTTACGCCAGTTTAAACATAGCGCGGAATAAGTAACTTTGTCCGGAAATAACGCATGCAGTAATAATTTTTCAACGTTAAGTTTGCTTTCGCATTTCACTGTGAAGCTACGGAGGTATTATTTTGATGACACAAAAACTTTGCTTCTCCATAAACGTGGACATTTTACAAACTGGATTTAACACCCAGAACTAAACTATAGCTGCATGCTTCTTAAAATTTGAAAACAGCGCTTGTCACAGCAAAGCAAACTATGCATTCATCACTGCGCCCATTACGCCAAATAAAAGTTTTAATTTTAAAATGGCCTATGATATATTGTCGAGTGTTCCGCTTTCGACTTTCGGTATTATTTTACTTAATGTGGTCTTCAAATAGTCGCATAGATTTCGCTACTTAAATTACTGAGATAGAAGGCAAGAATGAATCTTGGGTAAGAATGGGGGCTAACTGTACAACTACTATTTTAAATTTTTTGCATCGTTTTGAAGCGAGCTAGACTTTATGCAAGCAAATATCTTAAGGATTAACATATTTTTGTTCATAGCTATAGCTTTTCGGGACCTAACTGAGAACAGTTGCGCAAAATTGAACTATCAGCATTCAACGAGTATTCAAAGTTAAGTGGGCTGTCATTTTTCAGCGACTAGTTGCGCTTAGGTTGTCAAGAGGAACTTGCCGTGTATTATTTTAGCGTATTTAGCGAAACTAGATTTCCCGCTAAGAGTCTAATACTCAGAATTAACTGTAATTTAAAGTAGCAGACAAGTCCTTCAGCCTCTGTTGCCTTCCCGGCCATTTGACAAGCTTGTCAAGCGAGTGTATTATTGTAATATAAGCCCGTTGTATCCATTCAATTGAACAAGACATTTTAAGTGGTCAGTAATTGGCCGAAAGGCTCTTGGCAACCGTCCCGTCATATTTTTATTCCAATCGGTTTAGAATTGCTCTAATATTTGAGCAAACTTAAATCAATTTAGAAGTTCTTGAAAAGTTAATGCGTGGCTTGGCATAAATTTTAAAGAACGGGAAACTATATACGCATCACTGCATATACATAACTATCTCGTTAAAATTACTCGCGTTCACTTGTGTCAAAGGCATATAAGAGGAAACTCCCAAGATTGGGTGGACTGTAAGTGTAGCTTATCTCTACAGCTAATTCTTTCTCATACTGATCTACGATTGGAATAGATCTCAAACGTACATCAAGTGTTCTACAATAAGCTGTTATTTTCCAAATAGAGTTTCGGCCTTTTCCACTGTTTGGGAAAATACAAAACATCAGTAAACCGGGCAAAATTTTGATTAAAAGAGGACAAACTATACTTTACTTTTACGTTGGAACTACACTATAACACCGATGTAGAAGGGCGGATGACGAAATCCTAACAGAGCAACATGATTCCGTTTTCTATTTGGCCTACAGTTTTTCGTTGATTCTATGTCCAAATCTATCCCAATGTTAGAGAAATAATTCTCTAAGGAAAGTGTCTCTAAAATGTTGAGTGTACTCTCTGAATAGGAATGAAACTGTATTGTCTCTCTAAAGAAAGTGTTTCGAAAATATTGAGTGTACCCTCTGAATAGGAATGAAACTGTATTGCCGAAAACCTAACATTTTCTGATGTGTAAATGTTGACCACAATCTGCTGAAGAATCCATGCGGCCTTTTCAAAGAGAGGCAACGCGCTTTAATAGTTTTATAAACTTCACAAAGAGTTTGCACAAACATTGCTTTGTAAAACATCGAGTTAGCTTTTAAATGCCGAAGTATAGATAGTTTTCATTTGCGGCGAAAGTCCAGCCTATATCGCGCGGGTATCGTAATTATTGAATTTTCAATATTAAGAACATTAATGTAACAGCGCGATGATACTGTGACAGTGTAGTTAGTCGTAATGGGAAAGCAGTTAGTGGCATAATCACACTATCCTTGGGCTAAAAACCACTCAAACGGTGCGTGCACGTAGGAATACAGGCGGAAAAACTGAGTTAAAAAATCAAAAGCGGGCTAAACGCTTCTCAGTGGGGTTCCACCGCCTTGCTCATTCCAAATACTGCCGTCCGCTTTTGTTTCGTGCATTTTATTAAAAACCAAATATAACTTGAAGCAATTGCCGACACACACACAAGCTTGAAAATGTCTGTCATGCGAAATAGGCTTAGGCTGTTATCGTTTTGCAATTTCGAGGCTCGTTTCACTCAATTGAGTGTGTTACTTGGCATAATTGCCTGATTGCTGTGTCATTCTGGGCAAAACAAAACTTGAATTACGAATACAAAGATACCTCATCAAGCGTTAATTTCCGTCGCAGCGTTCCATGACTTTGGGGAGGATTCTGTTAAAGTTATCAATATAAGCAAAGCTTTTGCGCACTATTGTTTAACTGCAACATTTGCGCGCGTGGTTTAGAAAAGTATTTAAGCTAGCCCCTTCGTTGTTAGTGCGGACTGAACAGTACATATCTGGATTATAAGGCATGGCCCTTATAGGACATGTGGAAAGAACAGTTAATAGAACTAGTGGAACTGTCCAGTCTAGGTAAAGTTAGTTTGGTAGGCCTTCGCTTATGGTAACACTGGATCAATAAGAGACGATCCTTACTGGACCTCTAGGAAGAACAATTTAGAACTGATAGAGCTATAGCCAGTTTCAGTAGGGATGCTCTTATCTACATGGACCTCTAGAGAGAGCAGTTTAAAACTGATAGAGCTATTAATAATAAAGATAGATAGCGCATATTTACTTTATAGCCCAGATATCGTGATAAAAAATAATATAAAGTGTTAGCAAGTCATCGTTTATCACTTTGTCACCTTTGACATAATTTCTCCCGATTTGGTATCGGTCTTCACACATTCGCGTGTAACTATGTGGATAAACAATAGCCATGAGTGCAACCCTTAGCATGACTTTTATATATAAGTCTTACTGCTCTCCTGTGACCTAGAATTATAATGCAATGGTTTGTGTCTGAACTAATTGGAAAATATCAAGTTTCGAACCAGCGCGAAGAGCTTACATCGCAAAGTTAGCAGCCCCTGGCGAAGGCTCTTTCTTTAAAACGTCGAAATAGCTTATTGTAGAATACTACCTACACACTAGACCACCACGTTTAAGATATCCTTTTCAGATAGTTCAGACACAAACTACAGCAGCTTATATACTATTGTATATTACCTACACTAGACGCAACGATTGAGACATCACTGCAAATATCAACGTACATTTTGCAAAGAAATGTACACTAAATATACATGGACATCCTATTGCGACAAATAAATACTACCAATATACGGATATAAAACCTTAATTTCCTTAGATTACTTAATCAAACTAAGGAAGCCCTTAAAATAGTTTACGGCAGATCTGCGCAAAAAGTTGACAATGCCTGGATAAACTAGACTATTTTTGGTAGTTTTAGTCAGTGCAACACTATAGCTCCAAAGACAGGTTGCAAATTTATTCTGTGAGATTTTACTCAGACGATAGAGAAAGCTTTAGTCTTAGATTACTAAATACGTTTTTGTTTGGCGTAAAACATTTTTAAAGTATTTTCGAAGCCTCAGTTAAGACAGCTATTCTAAGCAGAGATATAAGTTTTGAATCGACTTAAGTCAAGATACTAATGTGAAGTAACGCTATATGGCATATAGTCGGTCGCAGCTAAAATGATACTACATAATTATACGATTCTGCATCTAGGATAGGTTTCAACCGGAACATTTCAATCAAAATGTTCCATGGCATATATTTGTGTGGAGTTCCCGTTCCATAATAATATACGAAAGTGCAGTAATAAAACATGAATATATCACTAACGTATTCCAGCGTAGTTATACGGCGGCAATTTCTCAAAGACCGCGATATTTGTTTTGACTTTCCTAACACAAGAGTCGGTAACCAACGTTTGAAAGTTTAATAAGCGTTTGCTATAGTTGTGCACAGAATAGAAAAACTAATAAAGGCTTGTACTCTGCTTTGTCGGTACGCGCGTAACTGCGACAGCACACGCAATTCTGCGCTAATCTGCGTCAAAGAGACATTGTGAACAGCATGAAAAGCAACCTAGGCTAGAATTTTAGTTGAATGTGACAGGAAAAGCGATTTGTAAGCGCTAACGTTGCTAAATACCCCGCCGTCGGCTGGCTTTTGACCTCTGGTAACGGCGGGTTACTGTGCAAACAAGACAATATTTTTATTACAAACTCAAAAACGGTTTCAATATTATGAAGCTGATATGACATTGGACAGTACTACAATAACGATAGAGCTACGAACAGAGAAGACACACTCTCGAGTAATTTACTGTAATAGGATTAGATATCAGTTAAATACTTCGTGTATCATCTGGGATATAACAGTCGATCTAAGGAACACGGTCCAATATTCTATATTGTCCAAAATACAAAATATTTTTAAATATATTATATAAAAGTTGAAATGCAGCCTTTTTCTTTGGGCTTAAAGAAACGGAAAATTAATGGCCCGAACATGTATTATTGGATAAGTAATCTAGCCCGCGGCTCGAGTATTTTCTAACATAATTTAAAATATCATTATTATTAGCAGAATTTCTTGACTTACTCAAACTTAAAACACAATTTACAAAAATATAGAGACGTTATAGAAACTGACTGACGTTTCGACTATAAAGTCTGACTTTCCTGATCGGAATAAACACCGCTCGAAACATCGGTGTGGTTTCTAATCATAATTCTTTTCAACATTTTAATTTTGAAACTTTTTATTATTATATATTTAAAAACCACGGGCTTCACACCTATTACTATCGCAATATATAGACACGCGCTGCAATAACGCAAAGCCTTGTTTCTGATTGTTGTGTATAATTAAGTGAAAGTTTGAAATTTCTACAGTCGATTAAATATTAAATTGACCGCAAATCTTCGCTGTTTGCTGCCAAATTTTTAACATGGAAAATAGTAGTGTTGTTTTCTACTGAATATCTGGCAAGAAAATGCAAAACTTGACCACCTTGTTACGCTGAGCGAGCCGTGGGGCTATGCTTTCATTCAATATTAACTCTACAGCTTTTCACATATTATGGGCGTAGCCCATTTTAACCAAAGCCAAGCGGAAAAGTATACTTAATCTTACATGGACATGGTCCAACATAGAACCGTTCTTGTCTCTCATTATAAACCCAGCTAGGGTACACTGCAAATTGCATTTTCAAGCCATAAAAGTTGATTCAATTCCAAAAGCGTTATTCTGTCAGCAAAAACGGTGACATTATAACACAGACTTTACAGTGCAGTTAATTCAACGCCTCCAAACTTACAGTGTTTGTTAATATTTTGTCATGTGTATTAGTACAGTTTGGAATGGTTAAATAGAAATATACAAAGAAGGAAAATAGCGCCATTACAGAGCTATAACACACATTGTAAGAACGTATAAGCCTTGTTCTTCAAGGTGATACAAGGAAACGTATCAAAGGTTGTACAAGGTAACGATTTAAAACATCAAATATTAGCGGGGGCATGAAGTTACATCACACTCATAAACCGAATGTTTGTTCCTGTCTCGACGCTATTTAACAATTGACTATATATATCTGAGTCAATATAAGTACCTGACCGCATATATGCAGACTACTTAAAAATAACCTGACAAAAAACGTGTTCCAGAATTCGTTCTTGGTTGCGTTTGTTGTACGCTTCAATTATGGTGCCCGATTTGCAATTCCTGTCATTCCCAACGCGTTCTAGACTCAGGTTATTCCCAAAAATATGCCAACAGACAAAATGTAGTTTTTGGCGTTTGTACTTACATCAACGCTTCAGATTGGTGGGTGTGGCACACAGTGATACCACGTGTTCACATCTTGAGAGTGTTCATCTATGAAGCCGCTAAAAAATGAAAACAGGCGAAGTTCAATTTGACGTTCAATGTATTTAGTGACGAATATAGGCAGTAAATACTCTACATACCCCCCCCCCCCCTCCAATTGAGTCCACTCTCTAACAAGTGTAGGCTCAAGTAAGTCCCCTCTCTAACAATTGTAGGCTCAAGTAAGTCCCCTCTCTAACAAGCGTAGGCTTAAGTCAGGCCCCTCTCTAACAAGTGTAGACTCAAGTAAATCCCCTCTCTAACAAGTGTAGGGTCAAGTAAACCCCATTTCTAACAACTGTAGACTCAAACTCCCTTTCTAACAATCCCGAATTTTAAAACGAAGATATTTATCAAATGCCCTTCCCTTCCCAACAACGAAAACGCACGAGTGCTTCTACGATTTATCAATTGGGCTGGCATTTAAATGTCAGTTTACTTTGCAATAACTTCAATACCCCCTCTCTCGTTTGAATCCCTGTCTCTCCAATAAGTGCCCCCCTCCCATCAAAGTTAATAGAGAATCTACGATATGTGCTTTTTGGAAACTGGTATGAAATGATTCGTGCCTGTTGGAGTTATGTCCTTAACAAGAGATACTCTTTTCTAAATTTTCTTTAATTGATAGAATAATCAGTCAACGAGTATACAAGCGTATCGCATGACATAGTAATAAACTGAATATTTATATGCAAACAAAACAACGGTTCTTGAAATGTATTTTTAATTGTTTCGTCAATAATTTTTCATCAAGAGTAATATATAGCTTTCGGACAGCACAATTAGTACCTGACATAAAGACATCGTTATAAGCATTTTATATTAAGCAAGTTTATTAGGGAACTTGGAACGTGTTTAATTAAAGAATACGATAATAATCAATATGTTAGCAGAAAAACCACTTAAAGAATAAGGCGATCATCACTGTCACAATGACATATTTTAATAGATATATTAAATAACTCTTAAGTTTTATTCACATTCCACGATACTGCAACGTAGAAAATACACGGATCCTTAGAGACTTCAAAATTTGTGAGCGAAAAATTCGTGTTTGAACATATTGTATAACTGACAAATTTAAGTCATACCCCGCATATATTTTGAAACTAATGCTTTAAATTATGTTCGATAAATAAAATAAATTGATTCAATACGGAAATAATTATCTCAATGACACATTGTGATCCCGTATGCCAGGTTGCAAATTGCGTCTATATTTCAAATTTATTATTACGTCTAGTTTTTAATTATTTTAAAATTAGAGTATACAAAAGCTGCGTATTGCGACTTCATATAATTTTATAAAAATTGTCAAGTTTTATAAATACTCAATAAAAAAGATCATGTTATTAAAACGCTCTGTTGATAAAAGGCCAACATTACTAATGAACACGATAGTCAGTCCAGTATTATCCTGAGGTCAGCGGTCAGAACAACTTCGAACCCAGGACTTTGGTGTGAGAAAGCCAAACCTCGTACCCAGGCCGCCCGTTAAAAATTAAGGTGGCTCTGGGAACGTCATTGAAGAAAAAACCTCAAACGCTCGTTTCAGATGTGACTGAGGTGAAATTATATTCAGACATCTGCATATTAACTACAGTGCCATATTTCGCCTCATTTTCATGTGAGTGCTATATCATGTGTAAAATGTCTATAGAATAAAGATACTACGACTAATTGTTTTTAATTATTCTACAGAGGAATGATATTGCTCTATCATAATGCTACATTCCCCAAATAGGCTTAGCTGCCCACATTAATGAAAAAGATATAAGCGCAAAATATAAAGTAAAAAATTGTATGCTACTCGCTTTGCTAGACTGACATAAGGTCACTATATATAGTGAAAGCTGGAGGCTTTGAACACATTCTACAGTAAGTCAGTAGGGCAAATACAAAACGGGCCTATAGCTCACAAAGAGTCGGCATTAGGGCCCCATACAAAGAGAATGACCGAAAGCAATTTCGTCCGAACGTTACCCCGCGTCGACAAAAGTTTACAAAACTGATATGAAGTGTAAACACTATCTGCATATTATGTCTATGTTAGAGCCGTCTGCAGACCTAGCATACTGTTCCTGAATTAATATTAGAAAGTTGAAGCGGTCTAAAAGTTGTCACAAAGTGATAGGCATGGCAAACTATAGTAGGCTTAGCTGGCTGGCTTTGTTGAACACAGCAGTTTGTCTACGGGGATAAAATACGTTTCCCCGTATAACAAAACACGCCAGATGCTGATGAAACAATACGTTGCTTTGCGTCGCGCCGCCGTCAGCAAATACAAGTCGGCAAAAAATGATATAAATGTTTGCTGCCGTTTTAATGAAACCGAATGTACTCGATATTTTGAAACGGCAATATGAAATTAAAAAACGCTCTCGTTATGAAAAGCTAACTTAATTTACCTAGACCACAAACGATCTGCCGCGCGCGATTTTTGCGCTTGAAAACTAAATTAATCCGTTGTTTTGACGGAAGATTTATTAAATGTACTTTTTTCACAGGCCACAATCTTATGAACAATACATCGGATGGTTTAATGCGATATCATTATTATGTTTCAATGAGAAGTTACGAGACGCTGCAATTAATTATAGCTCTATAACAGTCTTAAATATAAGGCCTTTGTAACTGTAATTTAGCTGCATTGAATAGCAAATTTAAAGCCCCAAGCAACAAAATAGATAAAAAGTTTCGAGATTTGAGATAACAGTGAAATTAAATACTATTGCTTTTCTCATCAATGGCACGAGAACTGTTTAGCTCAATTTGCGCAATTTTCAAACAATTTTCGTTTTAGTTCAATGATCAATTTCAGTAAATTTACAAAATATGTGCTAAACGTATGGCTATCAGAAAAGAAAATTAGGCACAATGGCCCAGTTTAATTGGCCTACATTTACAATAATCAATAATTTCTTTGTGCGTTTAAAATGTAACAAAATGCAAAAGGTATATAATTATCTATATTGTTGGGTTTTAGAAGTCTTGTGTTAAATAGAAAACTCTTTAATATATAAGCGTTTCGCATAATGTTTTTTCCGACATTTGAATGCTTAGCTTCGCAAATCTGTCCTGGGTCTAATCAGGAAACTTTAGGGTAATAAGTCTACGGTTACTGCAAAAACCTCAAAAATGTTTAGGTTCAATTTTTTTAGTATAGTTTTCTGACCGTACAATGGAATAAATTTGATTCAGTATTCATTGCTAATTAGCACAGATATCACAATACCCTATTTACCGAATGTTCATTAATAAGAAATGGTTTTAGGTCTAAAGTGTAATAAATGCCGCGGCCACAAAAACTGAATAGAAGAAAAGGAATTTAGGCTGGAATTCTACACCTGTAATAAAATAAAACGCTACATATAATGAACCTTTGTCATACACCCACACATTTTAAACATTTATTAAAGCTGCTAATCAATCACTTTCTGGAGGTATCTCACTTCACACAAAAGTCCGTCCACACTTGCAAAATTTGCTGCGATTTTAGGTGCAATATTCTTCTTCTGATGGATGTGAAAGAGTGGAAGACTCGCGAATGTTCAGAGAGGGTCCATATCATAGAAATAATAGACATAGAATGCGTGCTCCTATCTTTTCTCAGTAAAAAAATTGTCTCCACAAAATGGCGCATTGAAAAGGGCATTTTGGTTGGTCCCAGACTCCGGAGGCCCCTGCCCTGCAACGGAATGCGAATTATTTTTTCAACTGAAAAGTTTGCAAAAAATTTTATATCGGCACTTAAAATGGAAAAAAAGTTTGGTAAACTAAGGAAAAGTGTCTAAAAACCCATTCCAGTGGTTTTTTTACGAAAAGCAATAGTTCTGAACAGAATATATGCAGAAATCGTCGTTTAAAAATAAATTTTCAACGTTATGTTGTTGTGCAAGCCAAAACAAAACACAAAAGATCAAGACAAACTCAATAGGTATGTTCTACAAATATTTCAACTCTTTTACAATATAAATGGAGTTCAATAATCTTTTAAACTTACACAATTATATTTCATATTTTTCTACGTTGCTTGAGCTTGAGGCAACGCTTTTGAAACCATGGTTTTCGACGATTATTTTTAGGCAATTTTACAGTTTATCGACAAATATAAAATGTTTCAAGAACATAAAAACACTTCGTTTACATTGCAGAAAAACGAAACCCGACGAACAAAGAACTATCATTTTGTAATCTTATAAGATATTAGCAAAACAGTTACGTTTAGAGCATGCAAAAATGTTTTGAGCAAATTATATTTTCGCGAAACTACTTTGCTTTTAAAAGGCTGCACGATTTTCACTGTTTTCATAGTGTTTTGTAACTGCACATTTGCTTTGACAGTTTGTGCCTTCAAGGAACTCAAAATCTATCCCCAAACTACAAATTAGACAACAAAACAAAACGTTTTGACGATGAAAACGTAGTTTTAGCTTTGTTTTATACTTTGTAGTTTGCACTCCTGGCCAAAATTCAAAATGGCGCATTCAAAAGGGCACGCACCTGAAAAAGTGGAGACATGATTCGTCATTAGCACGCATTCTATGTCTATTATTTCTATGGTCCATATACTCGCAACATTCCTAACTCATCTACTCGATCACATCCATCAGTAGACAATCGCAGTGCACGCACTAGAAATCGCAGCACAAACGGCAAATGTAAATGGGCTTAAACATGAAAATGATTTTCTTTAATGACTGGAATATAGGGGGGCACTTCGCTACTACTGGGTGTGGTATGCACCACATTTGCGCCGAAAGTGGTGCATTTTCTACCCTGGATTCCAGAGCCTTCAGTAAATAATAAATTGAAACGTCGCGAAGGCACTGGTTCAACGGGAGGATTCTTTGATTAAATCTGTACCAAAATCACTAATTCTGTTTTGTGATTGGCGCGGTTTAATCAAAGTATGCATTTTCCCGTGCGTAATACAAATTAATACAAAATCTGCAAATTTCGCAGGGCTATATTTTCCTCATTTTCCTCGCAACCAAACTTTGAGATTTTACTAATTTTAATATGCTCTTTCTAAGCCAAAAAAAAATATGTGGGTTTCCGGTTTCTTCTTATAAAAACTTAGGTAGGGTAGGTCGATTTTAACTTTTTTTTTAAACTTTTTTTTTAATTTTCCGAACAAGCGGACGCCATTTTGTTTAGTCAGTGCTTCCACATCCAAAAATAAATTTCCCTAATATTGCCTCAAATTTCAATTTTCCACAAACTTTTTCCTCTAAGTGGAAACACTTACAAGCATAAATCCAATAAAAAAGTTTAGGGTCGGATTTTCGACGTCCAAAAGCTAGGTAGGGTCGGGAAACCGGAAACCCACATATTTTTTTTTTGGCCTAACTGTGGTGATGGATTTTCAGGTTTTCCTTGCCTAGATCAAAATTTAGTCTATCGCTAGAATCACCCATTGTAGCAAATGTAAACTGTTATTTTGTTTTTAGGTCTGGTTTCAAAATCGTCGCGCAAAATGGAAGAAACGTAAGAAGACGACCTCAGTCCTCCGACCCCCCGCCCCAATCCTCCCCTCTCAATTTGCGCAAAGCTTCAACCCCAATCCCCTAGACCCCCTATGTACATACCATAACGACCACAGGTGGCCCTCAGTCGCCCCATCCGGGGTCCCAACCATGGCGACGACCTCGCTTCCATCCACTCATTTCAACCAATCGAATCACGATATACTTCAACAGTCCTATCAACAGAGATCCACCTTAAGTGGGTTAAATCAACAACTTAGTCAGGCCCCCCAGGTTGCGTACCAAACGGGGTATCCCTCCCGGGACATGCCTATATCGTCTTCACCCACCTTACAGGATCTTCAGTGCAGTATGCCTAACGGAGGGGAATATTGGCGAGGAACTAGTATAGCGCAGCTACGAAGGAAAGCTTTCGAACATACGACGGGGTTTAGTTATCGGTAAAAACGCACACATTAAACAGTCGAACCTTTATTAGGGGGCATTCCTGCTTTGTTGTAGCTCGATACACGCAAAGACGTCTGCAGTAGACTTGTAGCAATGCTGTTCCAACAGCTTGGCAACAGGATGTGTTCGCACTGCTTGTTCCCAGCTTGTTGACAACTTGCTACAAGGTTGTTGAGCTCAACAGACTTGTCGCAAGTTGTTCCAACAACTTGTTATATCGTCCTGCAATGCAACAATTTGTCAAGAAGTTGTGAGTGACAACCTTGTGGCAACTTGATGGAATAACAGCATTGTTACAACTTGTTGACAAGCTTGCTACAGGCCTGTTGCGAACGCATCTTGTTGACAAGTGGTGAGATTTTTACGTGTGTAACTGGGTTTCACTAAGAACGTAAATTTCTATACATTTAAGACCTAACCAGGGGTATTTGAAAAAGTTCAATTGCAAGTTCAATTCCTGCCCGAGAGGCTATCGCTCGTTTGCAATCGACGCCATATTGGTTGATTTTCAAAATACACGTGGCAACTATAAAATTCACATTCTTCATTCTTTGTCGTATTGAGCCAAAGACCGTAAACTATCCGCAATACAGTAACGTGTTTTCAAAACAAACCAGAGAATGTTAAATTAACTCAACTATTTCACCGTAAACGGCTTAACGAAAGTTTAAAATCAACCAAGATGGCGCCTAATGACTCGTAGTGACGTCATGTGTAAGCAAAGAATAAGTTCTTTGTATGTTTGCATGGCGATAAAACATATAATAGTTTTGTTTGTGGAAACACCACGTAAATTTACGTGGTGTTTCCACAAACAAAACTATTATAAGCAAAGAATAGTTACATTTTTTCGAAACTGCTCCTGGTTTATAGGTCTAAAAGTATATCGAAATTTACATTCGAGAACACCATTTATACCACGCAACTTTTGCCTAAAACTGTTGCATGCAACCAGTGAATCAAGCACAACTCACCTACGTTACCGCGAGCGAGTTGTGTGCTTGATTTACACAGTACAACTCAAGTTGTAAGCAGGTTGCAAGCGACAGTTTTAGGCAAAAGTTCCGTGGGGTAAACCGCAAGTAACCGAACTCGGAATTCCCTTGCGTTGAAAACTGTGCGTCGACTGCAGTGACATTCTGGATCTGGCCGGCGAATTTTTGTTGTAATCTACGGTAATTCACGGAAATATTTCTAGGAAAATTACAAAAAAGGTGACCGCTTAATACAGGTTCGACTGTCATTTAGAACTGCGTTGAGCACTGAATGTATCTTACGGAAAAAAGGACCAATTCAGCCTCCTTAGAGTCCTGCATTTGAAGCGATTTGTTCATATATGTGTCAGAAGTACAAATGTTTACGACTCTGGTGACGAGAGCCGGTTGGTTTCGACAAGAAACAATCGACGACATAAATATAATCAGTGCTCAACAACAATAGATAAATATAAACAAAACTAACTTTGAAAAATAACCTCATAACATAACATAACCGATTCAAAACTCGTTTTTGTTCGGATTAATTGTGCGTTCATTTAATGTGTTCAATTTGTTTTAGAGCGTGCAGTCTGCGTTACGAGCAGGCGTTTCAAACGCGTCCAAAACCGCATGCAAGTTGAATAGATTCACGCTCAATTTTGAAAGTATCTCAAACGCGGTGAAACGCATTTAAAAAAGTATACAACGAATGTATACAACGCGCTAACAACCAGATAGGCTTTCTGTTAGCTTATTTCTAAAGTGCATATCAGAAACAGAAATTATCGATAAAATGGACGCTTGCGCGCAACGTTATTTTCCAAATTAGTTTTGTTTATGGATTGAAGTAGAATTATTAACGAAAGATTCAAATATTGAATCATAAAATATACATAATAGGTTATTGTAGATAGTTGACATAGTATGTTAAAAAAAACATACTTTATATTATTATTAAGGAATTAACTATTTATTGAAGCAAAGATATTAAATCAAAAAGTCTTTGAAAAAATTACGAAATGGTATAGGATTTATGAAACTTAAGTTGTTCAACGAACTTTTGAGGACAGAATCTGAATTGACAAAAATTGAAAAAGTTTTAAAATTCCATACTATGTGAATATGAATTTAATATGAATAAATATTGTGGCAAATGGATTTATATATTTTGTTTGTTGAATTAATTGCCATGTGGGTATTTCAAGTCTGTGGACAAGTGTCTTAGAATACCTCATTTGGGCAAGCCAAGTTCAACCGGTGTGATTGTGAACGAACTCAGCATGGAAATTTATACTCTCGTACTCAGAAACTGCAGATAATTGCAAAACATAGCTATTTTCTACCGAAATAAAAGCTGTAATATACAAGTCTTTTTCATCTAAAATCATCCCCTTTCCTTAGAGGTTTACAGGCAGATATAAACTTACGACGAAAATGCCTGCATACTACCTGCAATTTTGCTGAACTACAACAAATAGCTAGACTATATATTTTATATAAGCTTAGTAAATACTTAATATTGTCGCTTTTACATAGCCAAAGTTCATTTTGTGATAAATATAAACTCACCTCAGAGTTAAACACGATATTTCGGAACGAAGGCGCTATTTAAACGTTCTAGAACGATTTAAATGCCTTCAATGTCGCAATTTTCAAATTCTCCGCCATTTTGCAACATGACCGCGAGGAGGCGAGTTGGGAAACGAGGACTGAGGCAGAGTGTTTCCGCTTTTTCGTGCGCGATTTTACTTTGCACGCCATCAGATCACGACAACGATTTGGGCTTGTTTCTAAATCTTCTTCTGAGAATATTATTATTCTTTTTATAAAACTCTGCCGCTAATATAGAGAGAGTCACTCAAAATTGGGGTTACCAAACTTCTCATATTTGCAAGTATAACTATTTTTGATTGAGAAAATATTCAAACTGACAAGGATGAAAAATGATCAATTTTTGAAATATATATTTTACAGTTAGGAACAATAGAAAACTATTTGCAAATTATTTACAATGAAAAGCATTGAATTAAAACTAAATTCAGCTACTTAGAGTATGAAAAGTTTATGTATAAATTAAGCCTGGTTTATATATATTATATTTGGGCGCAATGATACAAAAGACAAGACGCCGATCCAGCCACTTTTCCACATGTAACAAGTGTCGATATATCCCCACTACTACAATCAGTTAAAACCGATTTACATGCAACAGACAAAAGATAACAAAGATCCAGATTATTATTCCACATGCAATAGTGTCGATATATCTCAGCCACAATCAGAAAAGACTCATTTACATGCAACACCAAAAAGAGAAGACAGATCTAGACTTTTCCAAATTGATGACCATGTAGTGCTTAGTCATGACCACGCTAAGATATCAGATCAAAAACAGCGTCGATAATTAAATTTCTGTAATACAGCGGTAGAAGACCACAAGATAAATGGACCGATCTCAATCCTGAGGATGACTGAAAACTAGTCGAAACGTCGATTAAAAATCAAAATGTTATTCGGAGTTACTGTTATTTTGTATTTTCTTAAAGTGGAACCCGCAATTATTAGATTCCTGATTCCTGATTTGCATAAGTATAAAAAAGACAAGATAAATCCAGACTAGATTCACTCATGCGATGAAGCAAAGTGTCGATATATATCTCTACAATCCCTGAAGGCTGCATGATAGTTGCATAATCGACTAAATCTACCTTATTTTATCTCAATCCATAGAGTATAAAAAAGAGAAGATAAATCCAGGCTAAATTCACATGCGATTGAAATAAAGTGTCGATATATCTCTACAATTCCTGAAGAATGATTTGCATATGTACAGCTTAAAAAAAAGATAAATCCTTCACATGTAATGAAGTAAAGCGTCGATAATCTCTACAATCCCTGGAAAATACTTTGCAGGCGCAGGTAAAAAGAGAAGAAAAATCGAGATTATTTCACATGTGATGAAATAAGGGACCGGTCATAAAGTATTTACTAGGGGGTGTGGAGTATATTTTTTGGGGTACGAAAAAAACTCCAGAACATCTGAGGGGTTACGAAAAAAGGAACAGAACCTGTAGCGGGGTACCAAAATCTTAGTACTATAGGTACGGGAAAAATTACATTTTATAATTATTGTTGAATATTGAATGTATTTGTGCCCAGATTTAAGTTTGGAAAGAATTGTTTTGCTATAATTATTATTAAATCAACACAAAGAATATATATGTTTCAGTCTGACTCAATGTCAGATGATAAGTAGAGTATCCGTGGAACTTTGGAGTACAAATCTGATACATCTGAATTGTCAATGACAATGCTAGCAAGCTCACACCATTAGAACCTGTTAATGATTTAAGGGGGGGGGGGGGTATGAACATTTTCACTTACATTGAAGGGGGTTACGAAAATTTTTCCATAGGTTTTTGGGAGGGTATGGAAATATTTACTTGAAATTTCATTTATCCTCCACCCCCCTCTAGTAATTACTTTATGACCGGTCCCTAAACGTGATTCTTCCAGGATTGTAGAGACAATCTGAATCTATCTTCTTTTCGTCAGAATCTATCTTCTTTTGGCGAGTTGGTCACAACAACTACGATCAAATGAAAACCAGGCAGTAACTAATCATCAATAGACTTCATGACAGCTACTGTATATATATTCAACCCCTTAGCCTCATCTGTTATCGTTCGTTTTGCCTTCTCTAATCCTCTACTATAATCGGAACCTCTTCTTCACTAACTTTTGCCTCTATGTTTGGTGTTTTCGCTGGTCTGCGACTGCGAATCAAAAATGCTGGACTGGTGAAATATTGATCTCGCTTGAGCTCTGTCGATGTAAGACGAATGATAAGAATGAATCGGTTCCTACGTAACGGGTCTACTGTCGAAAGCTTGTATATTGGAGGATTGCGATTGCTTTGGTAGACACTGTCCAGGTCGATGGAGAAATTTGTCTGGAAATAGACAACGAACAACATTGAACTACTCGAAGTCAATGCCATGCAGTTTTAAGATAACACCCTTACTGGACTTGTAGGGAGAACAGTTTAGAAGTTTGAACTGATAGAGCTATTCAGTATAAATAAATTAGTTAACGTTCAGTTTAGGTTTCCTCCTGTAGTAACACTGGATCACTAGGAGATGATCCTTACTGGACCTCTAAGAAGAACAGTTTAGGAGTGATAGAGCTATCCAGTATAAATAAAATTAGTTTAGTTTAGGTTTCCTCCTGTAGTAACACTGAATCAATAGGAGATGATCTTTACTTGACCTCTGGGGAGAACAGTTTAGAACTGATAGAACTATCCAGTATAAAGCTAGTTTAGTTTAGGTTTCCTCCTGTAGTAACACTGGATCAATAAGAGATAATCCATACTGGACCTCTAGGAAGAACAGTTTAGAACTGATAGAGCTATCCAGTATAAAGCTAGTTTAGTTTAGGTTTCCTCCTGTAGTAACACTGGATCAATAAGAGATAATCCATACTGGACCTCTAGGAAGAACAGTTTAGAACTGATAGAGCTATCCAGTATAAATAAAGCTAGTTTAGTTTAGGTTTCCTCCTGTAGTAACACTGGATGAATAAGAGATGATCCTTACTGGACCTCTAGGAAGAACAGTTTAGAACTGATAGAGCTATCCAGTATAAATAAAGCTAGTTTAGTTTAGGTTTCCTCCTGTAGTAACACTGGATCAATAAGAGATGATCCTTACTGGACCTCTAGGAAGAACAGTTTAGAACTGATAGAGCTATCCAGTATAAATAAAGTACGTTTAGTTTAGGTTTCCTCCTGTAGTAACACTGGATCAATAAGAGATGATCCTTACTGGACCTCTAGGAAGAACAGTTTAGAACTGATAGAGCTATCCAGTATAAAGCTAGTTTAGTTTAGGTTTCCTCCTGTAGTAACACTGGATCAATAAGAGATGATCCTTACTGGACCTCTAGGAAGAACAGTTTAGAACTGATAGAGCTATCCAGTATAAATAAAGTACGTTTAGTTTAGGTTTCCTCCTGTAGTAACACTGGATCAATAAGAGATAATCCTTACTGGACCTCTGGGAAGAACAGTTTAGAACTGATAGAGCTATCCAGTATAAATAAAGTTAGTTTAGTTTGGCATATCTCATCATTCATGTCAGCCTACCATGTTATCCTTTTTCTCTCCAACCCTGACCTCCAACTTCACTCTTCCGTTCATATCACCACACAGCTTAGCGCTATCAGGATGCCGCTGAACATAAACATCGATATCTCTTGAGCCCCACGTAGGGTCAAATTTCGCGACCATACGTACGTTACAGTCCATGGGCCTTTGCGTCGACACCCCGTCTTGTCTTCGTTGCACTTTTTCATAACATTTCTTCAAGTTTATAAACTGTACAGAGTTTCTCATTGGTCGTAGGGCCGACAACTCGTCCAATAGATTGACTGAAATTAACAAATGCATGTGTCATTGGTACAGTGGTCGATCATGAGTCTTTCACGTGATCGGTGTTTGATTACAATATGCAGTTGTCTGATTATAATTTTCCTCAGTGAGCTCTGATTCTGAGTTCACTGTTCTTCCCTCAGTTACATGTAAGAAGAATGTTTCCGGTTTTACTCTGCCAAACATCGAAGGTTTTCTCAAGAAAGAAACACTGTGCCAATACGAGATGACAGGATTCAAAACTGATAGAGCTATCCAGCAGAATTCAAGTTAGCTTAGTTTATGTTTCCCCCTGTAGTAGCACTGAATCAATAAGAGATGATTCTTACTGGATCTTTAGGAAAAACAGTTTGGAACTGGTAGAGCTATTCAGTATAAATAAAGTTAGTTTAGTTTAGGTTTCCTCCTTTAGTAACACTGGATCAATAAGAGATGATTCTTACTGTACCTCAAGGAAAAACAGTTTAGAATATATAGTGCTAGCTCCTCAGCTTCGTATCAAATTACCCATTTCAATGTTTATTTACACTTCTGAGAAATGTACTATTTTGATCTCATTGTCATTCTAATCAGAATGCATTGTTTCGTACCCGAATATCAATAAATTAAAAATAAACCATCAATGGAACAGGCTGAGAATGTCTATTGACAGTGCTATCCAGTATAAACAAAGCTAATTTAAGCAGGGTTCCCTCCTGTTTACATTAGATAAGGGATGACCTTTACTGATCCTCGAGGAAGAACATCTAGTGTAAATAAAGTTAGCTTACTTAGGTTTCCTGCCGTACTACTGTGTGCTACTGTGTTACACTGGACAAAGAAAACAGCAACTCTTACTGAACGTCCAGAAAGAACTGTTCAGAACTAGTAGAGCTTAATTTCCAGCATAAAAAGCATAAAACCTCACTAGCCTAGAGCTTTATGCTACGTGACAAAACTTACACTTTGGTTTCAGATAGTCTCCTAACGGCCTCATATCGTCTTCCTGCCCGGTTGAGTGGAGGTCACAGGAAGCTTGGAAGAGGTCAAGCCAAAATTGGCCATTCTCCGACTTTGGCATGCTTGTCCGGTCTGAGTCAGCCAAAAAGAAATTAGAAGATAAAATATTTTAAATACTACAGTAGACAGTGTAAAAATCATTAAAACAAAGACTAACACAACGTGAATTTCCGAAAAATAACTTTTTACGGTGACATTACTTCAAATTTTATCCACAGCAAGATGTCACCGCAATTTATACAATATGCCACCGCAATTGAAATAATAAATTTCTCGATTTTTGATATTATTATGGTGATGCTAGTCAACGATTTCCTGCCACAGCTATAAAGTTAGCATGCACTGTGAATTGCAAGTACATTTGATAGACACCTGTGCTCGCTGCAAAAGAGTAGCGATTTAGTCAATGAAGTGTAATGCAACGTCAAAGTCAGATATTGAAGAATTGCCTGCAAACAATTATAAAATTTTGAATTTTTACAATGTCCTACAAAATTGAAAGGAAAATTCGAAACTTGGAAAACATCCAACTATTACGGCGCAACGACACGCGCTTTAAAACGCAAGCGCGCAAATTTGCGCAAAATATTTTATCACAAACCCCCGCGCGCGCAAGATATGCAAATCAGAGAATGGTTATGAATGTTATGTCAAGACACATACCTGTGAAAATGATGTAGTCTTCGATCCACCCACGCGCAACGAGTCACTTGGTAAGAATGAAAGGTAGACAGGAAGCCGTGTATATATAAGGGAGTTGCTAATTTCAATCTGAAGGTAATCCGAGCTTCGCGCATTTAATGCAGCTTGTTGACATTTTATGCGCTCGAGCACGTTGAAGCTCGTGTAATCCGCTTCAGACCAGTTTGCAAGTGCAACGTAAGCAAAATTGGACGAGAATTCGTGCGCGAAAACACAATTTAGTGGCGCCAGTATCGCGTGCAAATGGACATGCATTAGGATTTCTATGTCCTTTCCTATTCTTCGCATCCAATCTTCATTTCATTTGCCATAGTTCACATATGACTGGCACGGCAGAACCTCCCTATCACTCACTGCTACTTATGTATAATGTATTTAGTCTTACTTTTTTAATACTATTAATTCGCCCGAATTATATGTACGATTTGCAAAAAAAAGTATTTCACTTTCGGTGCTATTTCAAACAATTTTTTCAACCATAAACTGACATTTTGGCGTGCACATTCAATGACCACAAAACGATGATGTGGGTTCCTTCCACACTCTGCAAAGGCTGGCATTATGCATGACAGGCTACTTCATTCAGAAAAGGCAATAGGCAGTTTTCTTCAATCTTCATTTGTAAATAACGTTTCTTGTTTTTGTTATCGTACACGAGGATTTGACATCTGTGCACTCCAGGGAGTCCCTATTCTACATAAATCGTTTTCTCTCTGAGTTTGTATGTTCGTTTGCGACTTTTGTTGGTGTGGATTACGTTTGACAGTAGTTTCTGAGAAAACCGCTTATAAACCTACATATTGAATAAACCCGTTGGCCGTGCCAGCAAACGAGGTATCAAGTCAGTCGTTTGTACAAATGTACAACCTTGAACGACATGTTTTCCACGAAAGGCGACAGGCCAGCAAAGAGTCAGCAGGGATAAATGGTTTTAAGAGATGTATCAAATTAAACGACACTGTATTATTCAAAATATGTTGACATGCACTGAAACCGGGTCAGAACCAGAGGTCATCTAATATTGTTTATATCAAAGCTACAGGGGTTAGCTCATCATTAGGTATGATTTATGATCATTATTAATTCATAGTTAAAAATAAACACAGGAAGCTCGCTCTGATTCGGATGCAGATAATATTGGAAGACACGCCTGGTTCGACGGCTCTTTTGTTTTGAAAAGAAATATTGCATACGTGTAAAAATATAATTGATACATTTGGTTTGTTACTTGAGAACGGTCATCGATCACAAGGCAACACGTTTATACTATTCGTCCTATTCGAACCATCTAGAATACTGTAACCCGACCTTTTCCAGCAATGGAAATTACGCACGGAAGTTCTTCTGAGCAGAACTAGACTCAACTAGTTCATCTTCACAGCAGATCTTTCTGTTTCCTCGTTTTATACACATAATTATCAGGCTATCTTTTCTTTGATAAACCGCGCGAGATTATATATCTTTTCCTTCCTGAAGTAGTGAAGCTCTTGGATCATCCGTGGGCCAATTAGTTACATTTCCATATATTGTACTATAGTTAAATACATTTAAATGTTACAATCCCGTTCATTGAGGACAGATTTCACCATGTCATACAGAGTTCACAACATGGCAAAAAATTTCCAATGACTCGAGAAGTTCAAGTACTCATTGCGTTTGCGAAGGATACTGTTTTACAGTGAAACTATGACAGGTTTTGCGTTTGATGGATAAATACAGAATAACGCGACTTGAACGAGCCCCAATAGAAGACCAAGGAAATTTGGTGTCTGAAACGATGAAAAAAAAGTGTGAATTATTGGCCTGAGCTGGGAAGTTTACCAATTTTGTGGTTGATAGGTTTCAGGAGGTTGGAAGTATTATAAAGCAGATGGTGCTCAATTTCTGGCCAAGCCAGTTGAAATTGTCCCTTGCCCTTGATTGGTATAACCAGAACCAGATTAAACTTTAGCATTTATAAATTGAAGTTTCTCTTCATTAATTGTGAAGTCTATATCCATAATTTTATAGCTTTGTAAGCATTTAGACAACGGTTGAAAAAATCGCTATCCTATCCGGCAGAACGGACCCAAAAAAGGCAATTAAGCTTTGAGGTAGCAAATTAAACTAAATCTCTAAATTACACTTATTGGGTACCAAATATGATGGTCTGGATTCTGGAAACTACTGTATACAGAAGTCATTGTGTTATGCCGTTTTTGTCTGATTTCATGTTGGTTTGTGTACGCGGTCACGGTTATAAAACGCGTTGTATTTTCGTATAATTACGTAAGCGTCCAATTGGCGATAACTGAGATGTAAAGTGCAACCACGTCGGATAATATTTAATGAAGTTGAGACGAAGGATTTGTGTAGGGTGAGGTACAGTTCAACATCAAACAAAGCTCTTCTATTTTGTGGCTTGAACTTTGCTGGCTTCCAACATCTATCTTACAGCTATATACCAGATGCAACACTACTAATATTATAAAAAAAATTAACATGGTTTAATATCTACTCCAAAACTGTTAGTTGGCCATAATATCTGCTGAATGAGAGCACTTAGTATAATCCAACTATGATGTATTCTCCAATATACTTACTATAACGTAAACATCATTTATTAAATATCCGTAGGTCATCCACAGTGAAGAGTTGACAACGGTCATTACACACAGAGGGAATGATAGAGATTCAGTAGTTTTAGTTCTAAAAATATTAGCCTAAAAAAGAAGTCATATAGTTTGTTTAATTCACACATGAAATGTGTTTTAATTTCACCTCAGTTGCATGTGATGACTTCCTGTTTGACTCTACCAAACACAGTGCAGTTTTTTCAAGGTACTCTAGTAAGTTTCCTCCTGTAGTAACACTGGACCAATAAGAGATGATCCTTACTGGATCACTAGGAAGAACAGTTTAGAACTGATAGAGCTATCCAGTATAAATAAAGTTAGTTTAGTTTAGGTTTCCTCCTGTAGTACACCAACAAA